AACTGAACTGCTTCAATCGTCTCGTTTTTGGCGATGGTTTGGTCTAAGTTCAGTTCAGCTTTGGAAGTCTACAACTGGCAACCTCAAACAACCCTATCCCTCAGACATCCCACGTCCAAATGTTCTTTCGATCTTCACCGGGCACCTGTTTACACCCAAGTTCGCCATAAATTTCGATCAATCCTCACTTTGCCAATACGGGTGTGTCCCATGGTTTATCATCACTTCCCCTTTCAATTTGTCCCGACAACTCTATCCGGGACCCACCTCAATGCAATGTCCAATTGCCCCTGAGCCCGCGGGGAGCTGTTGGGAAAAAAGTGATTCCTGCAAAGTGGTGCCCCAGTTCGTTAGCTAACTTGGTGAACATAACTCCAACAACTTGTCTTTATGGTAAATATGTGTGTGCTGAATGTGTTATATAAACCAACTTGGAACCGCGGGTGCACCTTGTAGACTTGAAATAAGCTCTCTTGATATATCTTTGGCATCCTTATCTTTCAAAAAGCGTATCAAGGGCATGATGTTTGGATATTTTTGGTGAGGTCCTTATTCAGATCCATGCTCTTCCATGGTATTCCATGGTTTTCACCCAGAAAATGCTGGATTTCCCATGGACTTTCCACCACCGATTCGGAGCTGATTCGCCAGGAGACGGCATCTCAGGGGGCGAACGCTTCCGTCTGCCTTGAGAACTTTCCACCTGGCCAAGTCAAGGAGATGTCGAAAAAAGGGATGAAAAAACCCGGTGATTTCACATAGTTGTGACAGCACATTTAGCTCGATTATTAAAAATGACTACCCTCTGGTAAACTAACATAGCTATTGAAAATGGCCATTTAGAGTGGATTTTCCCATTAAACATGGTGATTTTCCATAGCTATGTTAAATAACCAAATGGTATATAAAACTTAGAACATCTTGGAACCAACAAAAAACTGATGATTCAATTTGCAGTACAGTCGTAGATTCATGGAAAACCTTCGATTTATCGATATATTGGTGGGACATCACTTTTCTATACTTTTCTTATTTTTGGGGAGGTTAGTAAAAAATAACTCGTCTTGATCAGCAACATTTTAAACCTGCTGGTCATCCCCATGGAGGATTGCTAGCGTTCCTGCATGTGCTCCCTTCAATTCCAGAAAATTCTGCATGTTATAGATGTTATAGCCAGACTTAGGAGAAATTGCCTTGCCAAGAGACTTGGGCCCAACACTCATACAAAGGTGCTATGTTGTAGTATGTTGTACTGATATTCAATGATACTGTGGATGGTTGCGAAATCCTGCACCACCTAACGGATGGTTGAAACCCTATAAATATCTATAAATAGTGGGATAAAACACCTATCAACTGGTGCAGGATTTCTTCCATCTACAGTTCGGCAACTCAGAGGGGGCCGCTCTAAGGCTGCACAGCAAGGGTTCCCCCAGTTATGACTTGCTACCCCTACCATAGTTAAGCTATGTTAAGCTATAGTTAACCTATACCCTCTGGTAATTAAACATAGCTATTGAAAGTGGCCCATTTATAGTTGAGTTACCCATCATATCAACATGATGATTTTCCAGTTCGCCAACTGTTGGTTTACCATAGTTTATCAAAGGGAAGTTATACTAGAGTTATTTCACCAATTTTGCCATAAGTATCCCCATTTGTTGTGCCTTAAATCTCCATTTGTCCCCCATTTTCGAGGGTGAAATCTGCATCAACCGAGCTGCTGAACGACCAGCCAGAAGGTTTTGTACATTGCCTATGGCCTGGGGATGCGTATCCGCGGATCCCAGAAATGATGGGTGTTTAATGGTGGTTGCATGGTTTCTATGGGATGTTATTGCTGATTTCATGGTGGTTTTGACATATTCATGGTGGTTTCTATGGGATTTTATGGTCACTAAATGATGGTTTTATGGGCATTACTGGGATTTTATGGTGACCAAATGGGGTGATTTTAATGGATTTTAAAGTTATATTTGATGGTGATCAATAGGGATTTAAGATGATTTAAGCAACAAGACTGGTGATATGAATCGGAAGTACCAAGTTGGGAAACAAAAAAAAGTTGGTGAACTGGAAAATCACGTGATTCTTTAATCAGTAAATCATCGAACTAAGTTGGGCCACTTTCCATAGCCATGTAAACGTTGAGGGTCTCACAGGGGTCCTGGACAAAAGGAGGAGCATTTGGCAGTGGATCGATCTGGAATCGTTCATCACTGATGAGAGAAACATAAAATTCACGATGCACTTGTTGAAAGGCCACGTTGGGTCTTCCATCTGGGTCAAATAAATTGATGTGAGAAGCAGGTGTCCACAAATGTTTCTCCCCTTCAAACAAACATATTTTCCGGGATACCCAAATTTTACTCATTTGATTGTCTTTGTATGTGGATACACATGGCTAGCTGGGGAATCCCCTATATTCATAGACATGTTCCATGGCAAATCCTAATCTAGGGCAACAAAAATTCAACACCATGAAAGTAGATCATTTACCAGGGGGAAACCATGGGGTTTTCCCACATCTATGTTAGTTTAACCTGTGGGCTTCCGGCCTTCCATTGCTAGCTTTGAGTGCAGGAGATCCCATGATATGCCCATATATCAAAACATGAAAATATCATAAAATATCACCCTAAACTCCCCTGAAATTCGCAAAAACAACCATTAACTATATGAATATATCGCATGAATTCCGGATTTTTTGGGGTTGAAGCAGTTAACACATCTTTCAGTCAAACCCCAATTGGATATAGTTGGACAGCTCTTCGGGTAGAGTTATCATAACTCATTCAAAGAATATATCCCTAGTGGGTTCTAATCGGATGGATTGTCATAGTTGCATCATGTTATAATCCCTATCCCTATTTCATGTTTACATCATACTGTATTATATTATATATATATCTCTCTCTCTCTCTCTCTCCATCGCCATCTAAATGATACCATGGTATCTATTGGATAAAAACATGGGTTATCATGACGGTCATATTGGATCCAGATCATGTTACAATCCATTATTAATCCATATTGTTATAACTATAGTTGTATTAACTATAATGATAATCCATGATACTCCATGATAATCCATGATGATAATCCATGATAATCCATGATGATTAACTATAGTTAACTATGGTTATATATTAACTATAGTTACAATCCATGATAGTTTCATAGATCCCCTCCCGGTCTCCCGGGCGTCCCCGGCGGCGCTGTGTGCCATTCCGCATTGTTGGCTCTGGACCTGGGTAAAAAAGATGGCTTGGCAAAACCCGCTAGGTAAAGATGGCTTTAAAACATGATTCAACCCGATTCAACCCCCCCAAAAAATGGGATTTAGCCCATTTTTAATATAAAACCCATGAAACCATCCTTGAAATCCCAACCTGTGCTTATCATGGCCAGAAGGCAGCCTCACCACCGGAATCCGTGCTGAGCCCACGACCGGTTGTGCTCGACCTCAGCTGACCGGTAGGTTCGCCGGGGAACATAGGAATATTCATTTGCAGTGACTACAGTTATGGCCATTTATTAGTTATAACTGGTTATAAATGGGATTATACATTCTATAAATGGGGTTATAAGTACTTATAACTGGTAAATGGCCATAACTGTGGGTTTATGTACTGTAATTAATTAGCTTGCCCTTGTGGGTCGATGCATAAGGGCCACCTTGGAGGTGGGGAAACGCTGAAACGGGATAGACCAAAAAATTAATTATTCATGACCAAATTTGTCATTCTAGTTAATATTAGCAGTACATCATAGGCATAATGATAGCAACAACCACAGAAACAATACTAATTATGAGAATAACAATGGTTATGATAATATCAAGCACACAAATAGCCGTTCTGGAATAGAAAGAACATGGACTTTTCAAAAAAACTACTAAGATAGTTTTTTTTTTTAAACTCTCATACTTGATCTACGTCAGCATGTTTTTACGTATATATCTTTAAACAAATATGTGTAAATACTTACCTGTCATTATCCCCAAACAAATATGTGTATATATATATATATATACAAACCTCATATGGGTTGTCAAGGGTCATTAACCACTTACAGTACATGTCCCAAACCCTCAATCATGCCAAATTCTCCTTCAATGGCGCCTTCAAATGCTTAGATTCAATACATCCCAGCATGGGTTCGAGTTTTTTTGATGTTCAGGCGATGAGATTGTCAATCAATCCTTCATAAATATTCATAAGAACAAATGCCATATATCACAAATGGAATAGAGTCGATTGTCTGTGTTAGCCTGTTAATTATTGTTAAGTCAGACTTTATCACAAACTAGATCATCATCGATGAGAAGCTACGCATGGTCATAAACCCTTCATCTTAGAGGAAATGCAACCCTCCATTGAACAACAATCTGCTATCATGTGATTGGGAAACTCAATGCACATAGCTCCAACTGGCTCCAAATATCTCCAAATCAAATATATATATATATAGATAATAGAGGGAATACGGATACTCAGAGCTGTCATAGCTCCTTTGCTCCCTCCTAACCGGATAGGGACCTACCCCTCCACGGCTGGGACAAGAGACCTCTGACCTGGTGCACCAGCACAGCACGAGCCATAGGTTGAGAGTCCTGGCGCGTTCGCATACAGGAAATAACTGCACATAAATCCCATCTCATTGGGGCATTTCCTGAAATGGGGGTACCCCTAAATCATCCCTTTTAATGAGATTTTCTATCATAAACCATCCATTTTGGGGTATCCCCATTATTCCCCATTGCTGGAAACCCCCATTGGGCTTTATCCAGAACAAAACTGCAGAAAGTTTTGTGAAAGACAAAGGTAGGTAGAGACTAGCTTGGTGTGTAGCAGTTGCATGTTTCTTTTGCACTTGCGCATACTCACCGCAGACTGGACCAGTCAAGCTTAGCGCTAAAAGATTGCCCCGCTGCTTTTGCTTTTTCGTGTGAGCCCATTAGCTGCCTTTGCACTCCGCATTGGTAGCGGAGCTGGGTGATGCTTTCGAAGCCCCAGCGACCAATGGCATCGGCGGAGCCGAAGCGGTCAGCGACCGCGCGAAGGGCAGCGCCCAAGAGTGAGGCCGAGCCTCGAGGGAAGGAGAAGCTCTCCCCCAGCCCTGCTGCGAAGATGGGTGCCGATGCACTACCGCATGGCCGAGGACCTGGTTCTATATGCTCGGAGCCTGTAGGCGCCGCGAAGAATACCAAGGCCGCTGAGAGAGGCTATCCGGTTGGGATGACAATGCCTGGATTCCAGTTGCACTATGGCCCCAATGGACAGCCTTGGTACACCGACGGGAAGCAATGGTGGCCGGTGGGCTACAATCCCAGGATAGCTTCCCAACAGTGGTCAACGCCGTTCTCTTCCTGGACTATGCCGTGCCAGCAAACGCCCAGTCAACAAACGGCGGTCAATCCGAAGGAGTTTGACCTGAAAGGAGTCAAGCAGAATGCAACGAGAACTCGAGTGAAGACAGAAACCAAGGAGGAGAAAACTACGAAAGGAGACAAGAAGGACAAATCCTCCAAAGAGAAGGATAAGGGTGACCGCGGAGAGAAGAAGAAGAAGCCGGACAAAGGCCCACCAGAAGATGTCCCCGATTGGGGAGGCGACGATGAGGGTGATGAGCCAGATCCGGAGGATGACACGGAGTACACTTATGAAGAAGAGAGCGAGGAAGAGGAGGAACATGAACCAGACCAATCGGTCGATGTGACGCCGCGGTCAGCGACCGGAGTGACGCCTCGCTCAGGCACAGGAGGCGAGCCCCGTGAAGGTCAGCGACCTGGGCGGCGACCTGCGGAGCGTGACACGCATCACACGGGCAGCGGCCCACGGAGGCGGAGACCTCCAGGTGGCGGCGGCCCACCTTCGATGCCATCCAGAGGATCGCAAGCCTCTTCCAGCCACAGGACATCGTCCGTCAGAACAGAGTCGGTACGACAGCTGCTCAAGGAGCGTACCGACCAGCCTGAAGGGCGAGCTCGTGCAAACCTTGGACAAGTCCGGCTGGAGACCTTCTCAGGTGACAGGTCTCAATACAGGAACTGGATGAAGACGATCCAAGCTCAGAAGCAGCTCTACCAGATCCAAGACAAGGAGCTGGCGGTCTTGTTGTTCTTGTCCTGCACCGGGGAGGCCAGAGAGGTTCTCAATCAACTGGAGATAGCGGACATGCAAGAGGAAGGCGGCCTTCAACGCATCCTACGTCTTTTAGAGGATGCGTATGGGAGCAAAGCAGATGAGAGATTCGAGGAAAGGCAAAATGCTTTCCTGAGTTTCCGCCGCTCTCCCGGACAAAGCATCGCTGCTTACTTAGCGACCCTGAAAAGACTCCGAAATGAGTACTTGCGTGAAGACCCGGGGTCAGTAATCAGCGACCGTGCATTTGCCCAAAGAATGCTGACCCGTGCTTCCTTGACACGGCGCGAACGGTACGACTGCTTTTTTGCAGCCGGCGGTTCTTACCGTTCAGGTCCCTTGGAGAAAGTCCTCAGGTTCCGATGTGCGAACGTCCACCTTGAGGAAAGACCAAGCGGCGGCCGCCGCCAAGAGGAACGTGGCTATCAACAGGTTGCTCGGCCGCCGCCGAAGAGGAGAACCTACAAAAGGTCCGATCGCCGAGCCCCGTATCGTGCCACTCGCCATGCTCATGTGGCCGATGAAGAAGACCTTGAAGGGGACTATGAAGAGCACTATGGAGACAACACGGATGACGAGGACCTGGAGCAAGAAGCACTGATGGCAGAGGAGGAGATGCCCGAAGAAGAGGAGTGGAGCCATGACGAAGAGGCCGAGTATGAGGAAAGCGTCGAGGCCGTGGACCAGGCTGCCTTGCAAGAGGCATTCGCTGCTGGTTGGAGGGCCAAGAATCAGACGGCCCAAGCCCGGCTGAGCCGTGGCTACCGTGACAGTGGCAAATCCCCAAAAGGGAAAGGAAAAGTGAAGCGACAAGACAGTCGCCGGCCTGACGATCGAAAACGCAACAGCACGTGCGCCTCATGTGGCCAAAAGGGACATTGGAGAGGCGATGCAATTTGCCCCAATGTGAAGTCAGGCAAGGACGCTCCACATCGGAAGGAAAGTGCAACACATTATACAACAGCATCGGGTGCTGGGAAGGGCAGCGCCTTCCAACCCAAGCGGGGCCGCGCCCCCTCTCCGGCCAGAGAACCGGAGCGAGCACCGCTGCCGCGGAGGAAGAGCTCAGAGAGCCAAGCAAGAGACCAAGCTGGCGATGTAACGGGCACTACGCCCAAACATCCCCCGATGGCACCTCCACCGAATCCTCCTCGACGAGGAGCGGTAGATAAGTCACCGATGGAGACCTATGTGGAGCCACCATCAACTCCAAGGGGGCATGAAAGACCACCAGAGCCAGCAGTGCCACCTCGAGTCAAAGAAGAAGTCGATCGATCTCCTAGCAGAAAGGAACCTGAGAGAGAACCCAAGGCGTCTCCGGAGGAGAAGGCCAAGAAGAGGAGAAGACGCTCACATCGATCAGACAGACCGAGAAGGTCCTCAGGTGAGCACAGGTCTGACAGAGATCGCACCCGTGAGCGAAAATCACGGGAGGAAGGTGCAGAGACACCTGCTGACACGCCTCGTGAAGGGACAGAAGAGGCCTTTGTGGCACAGCCTTCAACTGGCACTACAGCACGCCAGTGCAACTGGACATACATGGTTGGTGGCTGGGACGTGATCAAGGACTATGATTCTGACAGTTCCGACACGATCTCATCTCACCAGTTGGCAACCGAAAGTGAAGAGGACGATTTGGTCCGCAAGTACCAGTTGCAAAATTCCCCAGCCCCCAAGTCAGCCGCTAGGGAGAAGCTTAAGGTCAAGCTGATGACGGTCTTGAGATCTTTGGCTGAAGAGGAGCAAGACGATGAGGTCAAGAGACGACTTCAACGGAAACAAGATCGCCTTCGAGACAAGATCTCAGCACGGGCCGTGCGATCTCAAGCCTCGGGCTCGGAAGCTCCGGCCAAAACAAGGCCCAAACATGAAACCCGAGATCCCAAGTTGGACGAGGAAATGGGTTTGTCCACCCAGGATCTGCTGCAGATCTTACCAAATATGTCCAAGGAGGAGAAGAAATTGCTCTACAAGCAACTCAAGAAGGAACGAGAAGATGAAGCCCTCAAGCTCTTTGGAACGGGGCAGCCGCCCACCTCAGCAGCAAAGCTCAAGAGGCCAGATCGCCGCTGAGACGGGTACTCGGCTGCGTCCGTACACATGGCCTCTGCGGGCCGCAGCCTGAGGAAGGATGAGGTTGAGGAGCCACCGGATCAAGAGGAGAAGGTACCGGTAGGAGTCAAGAAGAAGCGCATGGAGAAGTTTCGCAGACAGCTCTACGAGGCGGCCAAGAACCGAAAAGGGAAGATCGTACCGTCAGAAGCCTCAGATCTTCCCAACGCTGCCCAGGAGAACTGCGAGCATCCATATGAGCGTTTGCTCTGGGGTGCAAATATCCTTATGACTACCGATGCTAGGCAAGCTCTGGAGAGGCCCAAATAATTATTTTGACTTTCAATCTGTGATTTTTCTGTAAGCTGAAACTGTGAGAAATCTGTGAGAAATCTGTGGGAAAATCAGGGTCTTCATTTATATATGTGAACAATTTGTGAGATGTACTACAGTCTGGGTGCGTGCATGTGAGCAAAGTGTGGCGTGTAGCAGACCTTTCCCTTACAGGTCCACTCGCGCTTCCCTTCGCATTCTTTCACTGCCTTGACACCCCCGTACTTCCTCACTTCATTTCTCCTCACATTTCCTTTACGCCCCACATCTCGTTCACACTTATCACAAATACTTTCACAATTCCCTCACAGACCCCCTCACACCCCACAGTTCCACTCACAGATCCCCTCACAGACCCCCTCACACCTCACAGTTCCGCTCACAGATCCCCTTACAGACCCCCTCACACCTCACAGATTTCTCACAGATTTTGATCACAGATTTCTCACAGATTTATCTTGGCTTCCGCGCGTGAGCCCCCGGCACCCCACATCACGAAAGCTTCGACAATGTTTTTCAACTTTGGTGTATCATCGAAGCAGCCGGGTTCTGTGGCTGGTGACCGAAAATTGCAATTTTACCTAGTAAATTGCAAATTTTCTCACAGACGGTTTCCTTTGCGTGGTGAAAGGAATCTGTGAGAAATCTGTAATTTACCAGGTAAAATCGCAATTTTAGGTCACTAACAAGAAAGCTTAGTTGCTTGAATCATCCACCAAAAAATCAAAAACACATGCTAAATCACAGATTTCTCACAGATTTCCTTCAGCCATGGGTAGGAAGAAAGCTGTGAGAAGTCTGCGACAAATCTGTGAGAAATTTCTAATTTACCAGGTAAAATCGAAGTTTTAGGTCATTAACAAGGAAGCCCAGTTGCTTGAATCATCCACCAAAAATTCAAAAACACCAGCTAATTCACAGATTTCTCACAGATTTCCGTTAGCATCCGTTAGCCATGAGTAGGAAGAAAGCTGTGAGAAGTCTGTGAGAAACCTGTCTGAAATCTGTGAGAAATTTCTAATTTACCAGGTCAAATCGCAGTTTTAGGTCACTAACAAAAAAACCCAGTTGCTTGAATCAGCCGCCAAAAATTGAAAAACACAACCTAAATCACAGATTTCTCACAGATTTCCTTCAGCCATGGGTAGGAAGAAAACTGTGAGAAGTCTGTGGGAAGTCTGTCAGAAATCTGTGAGAAATCTGTAATTTACCAGGTAAAATCGCAATTTAGGTCACTAACAAGAAAGCTTAGTTGCTTGAATCATCCACCAAAAAATCAAAAACACCAGCTAAATCACAGATTTCTCACAGATTTCCTTCAGCCATGGGTAGGAAGAAAGCTGTGAGAAGTCTGTGAGAAACTTGTCAGAAATCTGTGAGAAATCTGTAATTTACCAGGTAACATCGCAGTTTTAGGTCATTAACAAGGAAGCCCAGTTGCTTGAATCATCCACCAAAAAATCAAAAACACAAGCTAAATCACAGATTTCTCACAGATTTCCGTTAGCCATGAGTAGGAAGAAAGCTGTGAGAAGTCTGTGAGAAACCTGTCAGAAAACTGTGAGAAATCTGTAATTTACCAGGTAAAATCGCAATTTTAGGTCACTAACAAGAAAGCCCAGTTGCTTGAATCATCCACCAAAAATTCAAAAACACAAGCTAAATCACAGATTTCTCACAGATTTCCTTCAGCCATGGGTAGGAAGAAAGCTGTGAGAAGTCTGGCAGAAATCTGTGAGAAATCTGTAATTTACCAGGTAAAATCGCAATTTTAGGTCCCTAACAAGAAAGCCCAGTTGCTTGAATGATCCACCAAAAATTCAAAAACACAAGCTAAATCACAGATTTCTCACAGATTTCCTTCAGCCATGGGTAGGAAGAAAGCTGTGAGAAGTCTGTGAGAAACTTGTCAGAAATCTGTGAGAAATCTGTAATTTACCAGGTAAAATCGCAATTTTAGGTCACTAACAAGAAAGCCCAGTTGCTTGAATCATCCACCAAAAATTCAAAAACACAAGCTAAATCACAGATTTCTCACAGATTTCCTTCAGCCATGGGTAGGAAGAAAGCTGTGAGAAGTCTGTGAGAAACCTGTCAGAAATCTGTGAGAAATCTGTAATTTACCAGGTAAAATCGCAGTTTTAGGTCATTAACAAGGAAGCCCAGTTGCTTGAATCATCCACCAAAAATTCAAAAACACAAGCTAAATCACAGATTTCTCACAGATTTCCTTCGGCCATGGGTAGGAAGAAATCTGTGAGAAGCCTGTGAGAAATCTGTGAGAAACCTGTAAGAAATCTGTGAGAAATCTGTAAGAAATCTGTAAGAAATCTGTGAGAAATCTGTGAGAAATCTGTGAGAAATCTGTGATCAAAATCTGTGAGAAATCTGTGAGGTACAAAGGGACCTGTGAGAAGATCTGTGAGAAATCTGTGAACGGATCTATGGGGGAGGACGGGACATGTGAGAAAATCTGTCAGATTTACGCGAGAAACTCTGCGAGCAATCCTGTCTTCAGATTTCTATGGGTGTTTTTTGGCGCCTGGTATGTGCTGCATTGCGTCATCATCGCAGGATATGGCCATTTGAATTGTTCAATGTCCGATTTTTTCATGATGTACATACATGTATATTATATATATGGATATTTACATCTAAACATACATATATCCGTTTAATCATGCAACATGATAGTACAAAATAAATGATTCCAATCATCTCACACATTCACTAACTAAAACAAAAAACTTACAGTTTTCTTACACTTTCTTCTTACAGATTCTTCACACCCTTCCTCGCAGAAATAATTATTTTCAGTGTCCTCAGTGGTTAGCAGGGTTGGTAGTCATAAAAATATCCATGCCCATTGGGCAAGCTGCAAGGATTGCAAGCTGAGAAAAGTCTTGTACTACTCAGCTATGCATGGTGCAATGACGTCCAACCAATGCATCCATGCCCATGACCATGAACATGAGGCCTACCAGGCCAATGTGCTGTCCCCTGGACATGTCATTCTTGACACTGGGTGCAGAACAGCAGTGGCTGGACGCAAGTGGCACATGACCCTGCAGTCTTTGATGCGCCAGAAAGGCCTTCCGTTCTACAAGACCAACCACGAGGAGGTCTATCGCTTTGGAGCAGGTGCCCCGGTGCTCAGCACTGAGGCGTTCCTCTATGCAGTGCAGATCTATGATCACAAGTCTTGGGTGCGCATCGCAGTGGTTGACAACACACCGGACGATGGCCGTGTGGCAGAGTGTCCTGGACTTGTGGGACCTGCTGAACTTGCCCGTTGGAAGGTGCAGATTGACTTCGCTAAGTTGCAGGTTGCAATTCATGGCAAATGGCAACCTACAGTTTTGTCGCCTTCAAGGCATCCAATCCTCAATCTGCTCAACGTCGGCAAGAAGCCTGATCCAACAGCATGGGAGACCGGGGAGCTCAAGGAGCTGAGGCTGCGCCTCACAAACGACCCGCATTCCTTTGCCCTCTTGCAGGAGGCATTGGATGATCTGAGCTCTGATGACGGCAGCGCCGCAGAGCCAGACCTAACTACGAAAGAAGCCGTCCATTGGACGGGACCCCAATTCGAGACGATGGCCCGCTGGCAGAAGAAATCCGAATCAGAGACCATCAACCTGCTGGATGTGATGGGTGTGGACTGCTTTCGAGCCACAACCAAGGAACCGGATGACAGTTCCACGGGTTCCATCAGCGAACGCGAAAGTGAGACTTCTCACGAAGGTGGACTTCCGATGGGTTTCAACAGTTCTGAAGAAGAATCCACGGAATCGGAAGATGGCATGGTTGATGAAGTGATGATAGCTGGCAGCGCCGGCGACACTGAGTACCTTGGAAAAGGGCAGAAGCGAAGACTTTTGGCCGCCGCCAAGAACATCAGTGAAGCTGTGGAGGTGGAGCGCACCAGTTTCAAGAAGGAGAAGGAGGTTCCAAGAGTGCGCCGGCTGCGTACTGGCTTCAAGATCTTGGAGATCTTTACGTGGTCCTGCATGCTGTCAAGGTTTGCCTACGGCCTGGGCTGGGAGTATCTTGAACCAGTGACCCTTCCAGGCTGGGATCTGACAGACCCCAAGGTACAATGGGAGGCCCACCAGTACATTGATCGAGTCAACCCTGACTTCATCATGCTGGCATGGCCGTGTGGACCGTGGTCGCCTCTGCAGCGACTTAATCAAAAGACTTGGACCCAGCGAGAGGCCCTCAAACACAAACAGAACACCTCGAAGAAGTTGCTGAAGTTTTCTGCACAAGTCTCTTTGAAGAGACAACGGAATGGCCGCGCCATCCTGGGTGAGAATCCCCTGCCGAGCCTGGCATGGAAGCAAGATGATATCATTGATGGCTTCGGTGATCTGCCTGAAGGGGTATGCGACCAGTGTCAGTATGGCCTTCGCCATCCCGAATGCGGCATGCCTCTGAAGAAACCAACCCGCTTTGTGGGCCAAGAGGAGATCGTGGCTGAGCTCAGGAAAAGATGCCCTGGGGATCACCAACATTTCCCCATTGAAGGTTCAGTCCGGACGGAGGAGTACGGGACTATATCTTTGTCATCCTGGGCTGGAGGATATCCGATCCCCTTGTGCAAAGCCATCATGAGGGGAGCCTTAAGCTTCCTGCATCGGCCGGCAGCTGCCGGGAAAGAGACCTACGTCCTGGAGGAGTACGTCACCGAAGAATCTTTTCAGGACGGGCAAGAAGGAATTGAAGAGGAAGAGCAACGAATGGCACAGGAGAAAAGGCGAGAGGAAGAGGTGATCGAGGAAGATGATCGACGCCCTGTGCCAAAAGAAATTCAAAAGGCAGTTGAATTTGCCCATCGGCAACTTGGACATCCCAGCAGAGATACTTTGGTCCGGATGCTGCGCATCTCAGGAGCGACAGAGGATGCCATCCGTCACGCTAGACGATGGCAGTGCGATGTGTGCCGAATGCAGAAGGCACCAGCACATCCTCTTGCTACAACGCCAAGCTTGAGACCCTATGGCTTCAATCGGAAGCTTCACTTGGACATCAAGTTTGTGTTCGACTCACGAGATCGCAAATATCCTTGTTTGAGCATTGTGGATCTTGGTACTGCGTACCATGGCGCCTGTCTTTGCAAGACAAGGAGGTCCGACTATGTGGCGCGCAAGTTCATGATCCATTGGGTCCAGATCTTTGGAGCTCCAGAGCATGTTAGCCACGATCAAGGTGGCGAGTTTGAGCTGGCCTTCACCTCGCTTTTGGAGGACATGGCGGTGCCAACTACGGTGACAGGATCACATGCACCGTGGCAGCTTTCGGTGGGAGAAAGACATGGAGCTATCTTGGGCACCATGATCTCAGCTATCACTGCAGAACACTCCACTGAAGGATTTACAGCCATGAAACTGGTAGTGTCATCTGCTGTCGCAGCCAAGAATATGACAGTGACTCGGGACGGATTCACTCCCAATCAACGATTGTTTGGAGCTGAAATCAAATTCCCCAGTTTGACAGAAGACAACGCCAGGCCAAGCTTTGCAGAAGCATTGGACTCTGAATCAGAGTATGCACGCGCTCACAGAATGCGCATCACGGCCAGGCTGGCTTTGATCCGTATGGACGTCCAAGACAAGATGCGCCGTGCGATTCTGAGGAAGCCAGCGCATGAAAATGATGGCCCATTCATGCCGGGAGCACAGATTTATTTCTGGACCCCAAAGAAACTTTCAAAAAGGTATACCCGAGGTGGCCAGTGGCGTGGACCTGCTACAATCCTTGTGCGTGAGGCCAAGGAGAGATACTTTGTCAGCTGGCGAGGCCGCGCCCTCCTGTTGGCTGCGCCCAACATCCGACTGGCTACTCGTGAAGAGCTAGCTCTCAACGAGCCAGCCAAGGAAGATGCCGACAGTTTGGGTGAACTACTTCGGGACCCCATCCGGGAGAAGACCTACAAGGACCAATCACGACTGGCACCTCCGCCGAGGACGAGAAAACGTCCAGCAACCGCGGATACGCCAGAGAGAAAAAGAGCAAGGACGATGTTAAGAGGCACCAAGTCAATTCGACAGCTCCTGAAGGATCGCTACGCTGATCTTCGAGCACAGTTCAGGAAGAGGAAGGTGCCCAAAGGTATTGAGGATAAGCCGGCAACGCCGCGCCCTGCAAAAAGGCCAAAGGCCTTAGAAGATGGACAAGTGCCACCAGAGGAGATCCCTGAACCACCTCAACCACCGGCACTACCAGGACCTGGAGGAGGCGAAGAGTCTGATGGCTACAGCGCCACATCACCTTATGATGAGCATGAAGGTCCTCCCCACATGTCAACCGATGAGGAGCCACCTCACATTCCTACAGATGATGAAGGACTGGATGAGCCATCCAGAGTTGAGGCAGAGCCTCCAACTGAGGTACCTGTCCCGCCGGACAATGAGGACGAATGGTTAGAGGAGTTCAGGAAACTGTCCGAGGAAGATAGACGCAAGATGTCTCTTGACGACGTTCCTCACACCCTCAAGAGGAAACAGCAGCTTATGGACCCTGCTCGGGCGGATGCTGCCGTCAAGAAGCTGCGTGCGAACTTCTGCGCACAGGTGGCAGCGACCACAGTGTATGGGAGCCTTCAAAATGAATGGGTGTCAAGATACGAGGTGGAACTTCTTAAGCAACTGACAGGCTTGCCAGTTACGGCGGCCAGAATCCACAGGACACCCAGGAAGCGTTTCCAAAAGCCTCCAAAGATGGTTAGTCGCTCACGACTTTCCATTTTAATTGGCAAAGATCCTGCCAACACCTTCATTGTCAACGAGGACGAGGAGGACGTGAAGCAGAACCCTCGCCGTCGTGCCAGCTTTCTTTGGAAAGGCATGACGATTTTCTACAAGACTGCCAAGGAGACTGACACCGAGCCGGTATACATCCAGCTTCCAGATGGGTTGTACCGTGCGGATCTGACTGTCCAAGCCGCCCAAGATTTCGAAGCTTTGTGGACGGAAGAAGTTCGAGACTTGCTCACCACTGAAGCGCTGCTATTGAAGATGAAGCAGGGTGGCAAGGAGCTGGATCCTGCTTTCTTTGATCAGAAGGAAAGAGCAGCCTTCGATGCGGCTGACGTCAAGGAGTGGTCTGAATGGATCAAAAATGGAGTGATTGAAAGGGTCAGCCCTGAGGAAGCGGCCCGAGTTCCCAAAGCATCCATTTTCAGAGCACCACTTCGTATGCTCAGGGTCAACAAACAGACCAATCAGCTCTTGCCGTTGGTAGCAAAATCCCGACTTATTGTGCCAGGTCATTTAGACCCCCAGCTTGGTGAATTCCGGACAGATTCGCCAACCTGCCCTCAAGCAGCTGTCCGTGCAGCCAAGAGCGTGGCAGCAGCCCGTGGATGGGGTGGCACAATTTTTGATGTCACAACAGCTTTCCTCAGCGGAAAGAAGTTGCAACGGCAGGTTTACATCCGAGCCCCCAGAGAAGGTTTGCCTCCAGCTGAGAATTGGTCAGCTGTGGAACCTGGAGAGCTCTTGCGCATCCTCAAGAGCGCATATGGACTGACAGAGAGTCCCAGGTTGTGGTACCTGGAAGCCCTTGACAGGATCAAAAAGACTGATCTCCAGGAGCTCGAGATGTCGCGATCTACCTTCGTTGCAGGTGGTGGAAGCAGTGGCAGCGCCACATATGCTATCCTATGTCTCCACGTGGATGACGGACTGCTTCTTGGTGATTTACAGGACAAACGTGTCCAGAATCTCAAGCGGCAGATTGACGGAATGTTCAAGATCAAGGCCTGGAAGACTGTATCTGCCAAAGAACCAGTTCAATTCTTGGGCGTGGATGTAACTTTGGATTCAAATGGCATCCACGACGACATGACGCAGTACATCAAGCAGATCAAGGTGGAACCTTTGAGTGGCTCTGGACCACTTAATCCAAGGGAGTTGACGCTCTATCGTCAGCTCGTCATGCGCCTTCGGTGGCCGGCCCAACAGGCCATGCCACATATGTTGTATGAGGTTTCAGCCCTAGCACAACGTGTGAGCTGCGCTCAACACAGTGACTACAAGGAAGCTGTCAAGCTTCATCAAAAGTTTGTGGAGGAAGCTTCCCAGGGCCGCGCCCAATTGACCTATCCAAAGCTGAACGAGAAGGAGAAGCTATTCTACATCAGCTTCTTTGATGCCTCGGTTGGAAAAGAAGAAGATGGAAAATCTCAGCTTGGGTCAATTCACTTTCTCACAACAGAGAAAGCACGGTCAGGACCAACATTGGCATCGGTGGTGGAATTCTCAACCAATAAAAGTTCTCGAGTTCTGAGGAGTTCAATGTCTGCTGAAAGCTGTAGCATGTCCATCTGTGTGGACCGTCACTTGTACGGCCGCTTGGTTTTGGATCGTTTGCTCTACGGCAACAGACCCTTGGATGAGAATTGGCGATTGTCAATGGGTCTTGATGGAGGCGTCGTAACTGATGCCAAGAGCCTCTATGACCATTTGAATACAACAGGTCAGCTCCCCACGGAGCGTCAGACCATGCTGGACTTGCTTGTTGCACGACATCACTTGGAAGCTGGAGCGTATATGTTGTTTTGGGTTCCTACTCATCGACAGCACGCCGACGGCCTAACCAAGAAGATGGTCAACTTGTTGTGGCAGGCATTCTGCCGAAAGCCTATGGTGTCCCTACGTGAGACTCCAGAGGAGAAAACGTTAGAGGATCACCGGCGCAAACTGCGCCAGGGGCAGCGACAGCGTCGCAAAGAAAAGCTGAAGGGCCGCGTCCCAGCACTGGCATCGGCTGCGCCGTGCCATAATTTGCGCAACACACCAACACGTTTCCCTTCCGATGTGAAAGACAAAGGTAGGTAGAGACTAGCTTGGTGTGTAGCAGTTGCATGTTTCTTTTGCACTTGCGCATACTCACCGCAGACTGGACCAGTCAAGCTTAGCGCTAAAAGATTGCCCCGCTGCTTTTGCTTTTTCGTGTGAGCCCATTAGCTGCCTTTGCACTCCGCAAGTTTCTCATTCAAGGAATATGGGATATATTGGCAAATTGACAAATGATGAACCGTAATATTGGTCTTCAGCCTCTTCCCAAGATTATTGGAAACACACACACACACTTCCCAGCTGGGGTGATCCCAGTGGCAACTGGGTTTGTAGCTCTGAACATTCACGACACCAATTTTCGACTGTAACCCACCCGAAAAAAATAGTGAATCTGCACGATTTTTTTAATTGGGGATTTACTTGACACGATCATTCGGGGATGATCATATGATCATTCCTAGATCATGAATAAGGTCTTACCCTCTGGTAATCTATAGCAGTTTGCTATGGACAATCCCCAATCCTATAAAAATGGTAATGACTGGGGGATGGTTTATGGCATTGTTTTACACACATTACCCTCTGGTAAACTAACATATAGCTCTTGAACATGGCCATAGAAATAGTAGATTTACCCAGCTACAAAATGGTGATTTTCCATAGTTATGTTACCAGAAGGTACCCTCCGGTAAATTAACATAGACCCTGGCAGATAGGGGTTGGAAGATTAGTTTCCACTAAAAATTTGTCATTTTCAGGGTCTATGTTTATTTACCATAGGGTAATCATATATTCCAGGCTTCGGTCATTTTGTCACTGACTGAGCCATGGCTGCAGCTGCCGCCTGCGAAGGCTTGGCCAACTCTGACAGCCATGGGTCTCGCAAGCACTCCTGGAGGCTGTGATGAAAGCACGACCATGGTACTGGGATGGTTATCCATGGGGAGCATGGAGAATGTCATGGAAGATTCTGTATGGAATATGGAATATGTAAGATATATAACTGATGTGAATGCATCTTAAATGCCAATAAATGTTACGGATTTCGAAAACGTGTTTCATTAACAAGCTCAACAAATGTGGAATATGACTCAGCAGCTGATCATCCCCAAAATGTGGTGCTGTTTTTGCCGCAAGGAACCACCCTGATAGGTCTCAACCAGCGCCGCTGAGTGGTTGTCCGCAGTAAACTCACATCCCCCATGGGACATTCAAGTGCGAGTACCCTCTGGTAATTTAACATAGCTATTGAAAATGGCCCATTTATAGTGGATTTACCCATTGAAAATGGTGATTTTCCATAGCTATGTTAGTTCACCAGAGGGTATCAATGGAAATCAACCACAGCCCCAGTTCAATAATACCCCGGGGATGCTGGGATCAGAATCGGCTCGGCATCCAACGGCTCAGTACTTGGCGAACATCAAGCCTGCAGAGGGTTGAGATTTCACATCCTTGGCAACCACATTCATCAACCAAAGCAGAATCATGGTGATGTTTTAACCCAGATGCTCCCTGGTGCTGGAATATTTACCTACATTTACCCTAAAAATGACCCAAATGTAGGTACATATTCCGTACATGGAGCATCTGGGTAATGTCTTTTCGTTCTTAATGTTCTCCACTTAGGCAAATCATCTACTTGGAAGAGCTGCCGCAAACGCGCCGCAGATCTGCGATCTTCAAGTTCAGCCGAAGCATATCACTTCACCAAACATGACCAGACGCAACATGTCAACTTGGGAAACCTTGGAGAAAAAAAAACAAACCACATTTTTTTGATCTTTTTTGGGGATGAAACATCCAAAAACTCTTGGGAAACCTTGGAAAACCGCCGGTGTTTGTTGGTTTTTTTTCCAGGCACCGCGCCGCGCCTGTGGTCTCACACGGATCTTTCCACCAGTCGCACCACCGGCCTTGTGGGCACAATACCTCGCAGGACGACGAAATCCGTGGACTCGTTGACTCTTCACTTGGGGAATCTATGGTTTCTGGGGGATATACCATCTGGTTATTTAACATAGCCATGGAAAATCCCTTCTAAATGGAGGTTTTAATGGGAAAATCATCTATAAATGGGCCATTTTCCATGGCTATGTTAAATTCCCAGAGGGTAACTATGGTTCAATGGTTATCTAAAGTGAAAACAGGGTGTGTAAACCTTATAACTATGGTTTTCAAATGTTTTAAAATAATGTCTTAATGAGGATGTGACACACTATTTCATGGAGTGAAACAAAGCCAACTTATAATAACTAATACAACATGTAATGGGGGTGAGAAACCAACGAACATATACAAACATAACTTGGGAACCTCACTTATGCTCACGAATGAAATGGCAACTATGCAGTAGCTATCGAGATGTGCTGTTTGAAAAATCACATCCAAGTCTAAAGCAAGCCTCCACTTAGTAAACGTCGGTAGATCAAGTTCCTTGCGCGCTTTTACATACCGTCTATGTTTATCTGGCTGGTTTATCAATCTCCTGGTAATTTGGTGTAATTTTAATGATGAACCGATAACCGATCTAATCAATCTAATTCAAAGGTAACACACTCTCGTTCCATATGCAGTCCAAAACAATATAGCAACTCCAGGCTTAAATCTACAATGTGGTCAACCCATGTCAACCCAACAAGAGACCATTCCCTAAATCACCCTTGTTATGGTTGACATAAACCATCCTCAAAGGGTGGGTAAAAAAGGCATTGGCTTTCCACATCGCCAGGTGACACGTTGAGCATCTCACGCATGGTCGTATCCTCGGAACGGCACACCATGGGGTGGCCTTGAACGGGTCCAACGGTGGATTTCTTGGAGTTTTTCGCGTTCAAAATCCATGGGGAAACCCAAATCTGGAAGTGAGGAACACATCCGGAAAAAATCGGGATATCAATGGATTTCATAATTATCATAGAACAGAATCGGATTAACCATGATTAACCTCCATATCCCGGCAAATTATGGCAACTTTCAGTGGATTTCATGGACCGAAAAATGGTTACTTCGTGGAATAATTTGTGGGACACCGCCTATGGCCATCAATGGAGGTTCCATGAACCATGGGATGCGGGGCTTCTGGGAAGTGCTTAATATTGAGGCGAAGGGATGTTTGGGGCGAAAAAAATGATCTCGCATAGATCTTAAATGACTAAACAACAAGGCCATAATATATATATATATATAGTATGTATATATATAGTACCAGTATATAATATATAATATAAAATACATATAGTAGATATACATATATATAAATAATGTGTGTATATATAATAATAATGTATACAAATGTATACAGTATATATATTGTGTTTTAATGGCAAGGTCTGGCCCGAAGGCTTGAATTTGCCACACCTCAGCACCATTCGACCCTTCTGGAGCATGTCACCCCAAGCCTGGAACTCAGAGGTGAACGTGGTCTTCAGGTTTTCCCTCATCCTCAGATCAACTGGTTTCAGCATAGCCTGCCCATGACACCCAAAACAAAACCGGCAGAATCTTTTTACAAAATCTGAGCCTTTGCAGAGCGCAATCTCTTTTCCTCCAAATTGATCCAAATTGATGGTTTCTGTAAATCCACACATACTGTAGCTCTACCTATGGCTCAAGAGTGATGCACGAGATGTCCCCCTTGAAGGAAACACACGATGCCATTAGACTCCCAAACCTGGTTTTGCCGAAAAGCTCCAAAAAGAAACTTCCAATAACTCTCCATCGAATATTCCTGAGATTCTCTGACCACACGTATATACATATAATCAATAGATATCATGATCTCAATGATTTCTATATGATATATCAACTCTGTACTTATACAGAAGAACGGGTTTACACAATTTTCATGATGATATATTTTTGATATTCTATCTCTAATTCTTTGAACTGATTATCTCCATGTTTTTCCAACATTGCCCCATCCGCCTGCCCTGGCCCGAGCATCAGCTTGGTCTGCCAGCGCCAGCGATGAAGGCCTTGGAAGAAGCCGCCGCCGAAGAGCCAGGTGGTCACAAGGAAACCCTGCAACCTGGGTTGCAACGAAGTGGCTGGCAGAAATCACTTGAACATATTGGATAACTGTAATTATATGCCATAATATATGTTTTGTCTTATATATACATATATATAATAATATGTATAATATATATATATATATATATCCGCCGACCCCAGCCATCTGCAGGGGGAGCGCGCCCGAGAAAAAGTGGCTTCGCGGCACCTTTTCTTCTGGTTTCAGAAAGCGACGTTAGGTAGTAGGCTGCCGTTAAACGCTTCCCGGCGCCCTCGGCCGCCCTTAAACCTTGCCTCTTAAACCCTGCCCTTTAACCCTTCCCGGCGTCTTTGGCGGCCCAGCAGCATGTCCTTTGGCCACCTGCCGGGCGCTTTTCTGGAGATTTTCTTCTCGTTTCAGAAAGCAACGTTAGGCAGTAGGCTGCCCTTAAACCCTCCCCGGCGCCCTGACCTGCCTTTAAACCCTTCATGGCGCCCTTGGCAGCCAAGCAGCATGTCCTTTCGCCACCTGCCGGGCGCTTTCCTGGAGATTTTCTTCTCGTTTCAGAAAGCAACGTTAGGCAGTAGGCTGCCCTTAAACCCTCCCCGGCGCCCGGAGCCTTCATGGCGCCCTTGGCGGCCTAGCAGCATGTCCTTTGGCCACCTGCCGGGCGCTTTCCTGGAGATTTTCTTCTGGTTTCAGAAAGCAAAGTTAGGCAGTAGGCTGCCCTTAAACCCTCCCCGGCGCCCTGAGCTGCCTTTAAACCCTTCATGGCGCCCTTGGCGGCCTAGCAGCATGTCCTTTGGCCACCTGCCGGGCGCTTTCCTGGAGATTTTCTTCTCGTTTCAGAAAGCAACGTTAGGCAGTAGGCTGCCCTTAAACCCTCCCCGGCGCCCTGAGCTGCCTTTAAACCCTTCATGGCGCCCTTGGCGGCCTAGCAGCATGTCCTTTGGCCACCTGCCGGGCGCTTTCCTGGACATTTTCTTCTCGTTTCAGAAAGCAACGTTAGGCAGTAGGCTGGCCTTAAACCCTCCCCGGCGCCCTGAGCTGCCCTTAAACCCTTTATGGCACCTTTGGCGGCCTAGCAGCATGTCCTTTGGCCACCTGCCGGGCGCTTTCCTGGAGATTTTCTTCTGGTTTCAGAAAGCAACGTTAGGCAGTAGGCTGGCCTTAAACCCTCCCCGGCGCCGTAAGCTGCCCTTAAACCCTTCCCTGTGCCCTTGGCGGCTCAGCAGCATGTCCTTTGGCCACCTGCCGGGCGCTTTCCTGGAGATTTTCTTCTCGTTTCAGAAAGCAACGTTAGGCAGTAGGCTGCCCTTAAACCATCCCCGGCGCCCTGAGCTGCCTTTGAACTTTTCATGGCGCCCTTGGCGGCCTAGCAGCATGTCCTTTAGCCACCTGCCGGGCGCTTTCCTGGAGATTTTCTTCTCGTTTCAGAAAGCAAGGTTAGGCAGTAGGCTGCCCTTAAACCCTCCCCGGCCCCCTGAGCTGCCTTTAAACCCTTCATCGCGCCCTTGGCGGCCTAGCAGCCTGTCCTTTGGCCACCTGCCGGGCGCTTTCCTGGAGATTTTCTTCTGGTTTCAGAAAGCAACGTTAGGCAGTAGGCTGCCCTTAATCCCCCCCCGGCGCCCTGAGCTGCCTCTAAACCCTTCATGGCGCCCTTGGCGGCCTAGCAGCATGTCCTTTGGCCACCTGCCGGGCGCTTTCCTGGAGATTTTCTTCTGGTTTCAGAAAGCAACGTTAGGCAGTAGGCTGCCCTTAAACCCTCCCCGGCGCCCTGAGCTGCCTTTAAACCCTTCGCCCTTGGCGGCCTAGCAGCAGTCCTTTGGCCACCTGCCGGGCGCTTTCCTGGAGATTTTCTTTTGGTTTCAGAAAGCAACGTTAGGCAGTAGGCTGCCCTTAAACCTTCCCCGGCGCCCTGAGCTGCCTTTAAACCCTTCATGGCGCCCTTGGTAGCCAAGCAGCATGTCCTTTGGCCACCTGCCGGGCGCTTTCCTGGAGATTTTCTTCTGGTTCAGAAAGCAACGTTAGCTGTGGTTTTGCGCGGTCTTTCCTCGCCCAAGAACCGCGTTTTGGAGCGGGACAAGTAGCTCAGAAATCTCCTCATTTTCTATGTTCAGAAGTTACGTTAGGCACTTTTTCGCCGCCTTTTTTGCGCCTTGTCCGTCCTTCACTGCCATGGTGTTTCCCCGTCCGGGGGCTGTGGTTTTGTGCGGTCTTTCCTCGCCCAAGAACCGCGTTTTGGAGCGGGACAAGTAGCTCAGAAATCTCCTCATTTTCTATGTTCAGAAGTTACGTTAGGCACTTTTTCGCCGCCTTTTTTGCGCCTTGTCCGTCCTTCACTGCCATGGTGTTTCCCCGTCCGGGGGCTGTGGTTTTGCGCGGTCTTTCCTCGCCCAAGAACCGCGTTTTGGAGCGGGACAAGTAGCTCAGAAATCTCCTCATTTTCTATGTTCAGAAGTTACGTTAGGCACTTTTTCGCCGCCTTTTTTTGCGCCTTCTCCGTCCTTCACTGCCATGGTGTTTCCCCGTCCGGGGGCTGTGGTTTTGCGCGGTCTTTCCTCGCCCAAGAACCGCGTTTTGGAGCGGGACAAGTAGCTCCGAAATCTCCTCATTTTCTATGGGTTTCAGAAGTTACGTTAGGCGCTTTTTCGCCGCCTTTTTTGCGCCTTCTCCATCCTTCACTGCCATGGTGTTTCCCCGTCCGGGGGCTGTGGTTTTGCGTGGTCTTTCCTCGCCCAAGAACCGCGTTTTGGAGCGGGACAAGTAGCTCCGAAATCTCCTCATTTTCTATGGGTTTCAGAAGTTACGTTAGGCACTTTTTCGCCTCCTTTTTTGCGCCTTCTCCGTCCTTCACTGCCAAACTAATTGTTTCAACCGAAAATCTTGTCAAGGTTTTCAAACATTCATGTGGGTAGTTTCTTTAGAGTTTCATTTAGGATTTCATTCATGAAGGGTCAAAAAAACACGGAAAACAAGGTGGAGGATCCAAAAAAACAAGGTCCCCGTATACTTTGATAAACTATCATGCACCTGTGCGGCGCAACCATGCACCTGTGCGGCGCAACACTAGCTGCATAATAATAGGGCCAAAACTATCGTATAGATATATATATATATTATCTAACTATTGTACAGTTACTTAGATCCGTGAACCCATAAAACCATAGGATCATAATATCAACATGCACCCAAATGAAAAACCCATTTACAAATGAAAATTCAAACCTATCAAATATAGTTCACAACAATATACATAGGAAAAAGGTCGAAAGCCTCAGAATTTAGTTTGCTTCCTTGCCGATTCTTCCGGGGTCGGCGGCAGGGGCGGCAGCCCTTAAATATACATTTCTCTCTCCCTCTCTCTCTTGCTATCGCATTCTCCAAGAATTCTGCCGGAGGATAAAGGCGACAGCCAGGGGATGTACCATGATGTAAGGTTTTGCAGCTGATAGGGGGTCTTTGGAAATGGATTCTAGGGTCCTTGGTGATTTAGTTCTACCTCTGATTGTGTGATATATGTTTTCCATTATTTATTTCTTTATCTATCTTATCTATCAAGGTAGGTGGCCTTGGTATATACTAGTGACAATGATCCCAAAGGAAAGATCGTCTTGGGCTAGTGTCCCTTGGATGTTTCAATATATTGTTACTTCTTATCCGCCATTCGGTAATCATGCCAAGATGGGGATTGATAATTAGTGTCTCCATCCATTTACCCTTCTATTCGTGGAAGTGCCAGTCAGAACAAACGATCACCATTCGATCGTAGTTCAAATAGGTTTTTTTGGGTTGGGTACTTTGATAAAATATATATATATATATATATATATCAATATATGCAGCCGATAGGGGGTTTTTGGAATTTGATTCTAGGGTCCTTGGTGATTTAGTTCTACCTCTGATTGTGTGATATATGTTTTCCATTATTTATTTCTTTATCTATCTTATCTATCAAGGTAGGTGGCCTTGGTAAATACTAGTGAAAATGATCCCAAAGGAAAGATCGTCTTGGGTTAGTGTCCCTTGGATGTTTCAATATTTTTAATTCTTATCCTTCTTTCGGTAGTCATGCCAAGATGGGGGTTGAAAATTAGTCTCTCCATCCATTTACCCTTCTATTTGTGGAAGTGCCAGTCAGAACAAACGATCACCATTCGATCGTAGTTCAAATAGGTTTTTTTTTGGGGGTTGGGTACTTCGATAAAATATAGAATATACTATATCTATGTTGTGCAATTGATCTGGGTTCTCTGGAAATGGATTCTTGTGTCTTTCCAACTATTTTATATATGATAATGGAATTGAATTGTATTATAGGTACTTTATTATTTTCCCTATGAGGTAACCAATTGGTTGATTAAATGGGTATCATCTTACCATTGGTTATTTAATATAACTATTTGTTTTTTACCATACTCATAGAAAATTTTATGTGCATTATTATGTTCATTCTTAGGCAACCACTTGGTTGGCTAAATTGATATCATCCCAGTAACGGTTACGGTTATTTTATTTTATGATATTCCTTGGATTAACTGGGGTCCACTACCATTTCTGAAGGGTACCAACCAATTGCTGGATCAAAATGGAAAAGGTATCAACCACGCTCTTGTTTTTTCTAGGGTGGTGCCCCCATATACCTTTGGTATAAAGCCACCAATGTTAATGTTATCCCTGATTATCATTATTTTTTTCAAGTACTAAATTTCCCCCATTATTTCTACATCTACATCATATATCCTTTAAATGCAATGCCCAACAGCTAATTTGCCGAAGTCAGGGCGCAGAAATCAGCACCCTGAGTTAGGAAAAAAAAAATTGACGATATCCTAGGTGTTTGGTGGGGTATTGCCTAAGTAAGGTCGCAAAAATCTGCACCTAGACTTGGGCAATACAGAGGTTGTACCCTGGGATTTAGGAAAAAAAAAATTGCCGATCTCAGGGTGCAGAAATTGGCATGTGGACTTGGGAAACAGCCCTACTATTATATTCTACCATGATTTTTGCCGCAGAGGATTCGGGGTCCTTGATTTTGAGATTTAGGAAAAAAAATTGCCGATCTTTTGGCTTGGGGGACCCCGTATCCGTCGCATCCGCACATCCGTCGCATAACAATATTTTATTTTATATTTTATCGAAGTACCAACCCCAAAAAAAAACCTATCTGAACTACGATCGAATGGTGATCGTTTGTCCTGACTGGCACTTCCATAAATAGAAGGGTAAATGGATGGAGAGACTAATTATCAACCCCCATCTTGGCATGACTACCGAAAGAAGGATAAGAATTAATAATATTGAAACATCCAAGGGACACTAACCCAAGACGATCTTTCCTTTGGGATCATTTTCACTAGTATATACCAAGGCCACCTACCTTGATAGATAAGATAGATAAAGAAATAAATAATGGAAAACATATATCACACAATCAGAGGTAGAACTAAATCACCAAGGACCCTAGAATCAAATTCCAAAGACCCCCTATCTGCTGCATATATTGATATATATAATATATATTTATAAAATTTTATCAAAGTACCCAACCCCAAAAAAAACCTATCTGAACTACGATCGAATGGTGATCGTTTCTCCTGACTGGCACTTCCATAAATAGAAGGGTAAATGGATGGAGAGACTAATTATCAACCCCCATCTTGGCATGACTACCGAAAGAAGGATAAGAATTAATAATATTGAAACATCCAAGGGACACTAACCCAAGACGATCTTTCTTTTGGGATCATTGTCACTAGTATATACCAAGGCCACCTACCTTGATAGATAAGATAGATAAAGAAATAAATAATGGAAAACATATATCACACAATCAGAGGTAGAACTAAATCACCAAGGACCCTAGAATCAAATTCCAAAGACCCCCTATCGGCTGCATATATTGATATATATATATATATATATAAATATGTTTTATCAAAGTACCCAACCAAAAAAAACTATTTGAACTACGATCGAATGGTGATCGTTTGTTCTGACTGGCACTTCCACGAATAGAAGGGTAAATGGATGGAGACACTAATTATCAATCCCCATCTTGGCATGATTACCGAATGGCGGATAAGAAGTAACAATATATTGAAACATCCAAGGGACACTAGCCCAAGACGATCTTTCCTTTGGGATCATTGTCACTAGTATATACCAAGGCCACCTACCTTGATAGATAAGATAGATAAAGAAATAAATAATGGAAAACATATATCACACAATCAGAGGTAGAACTAAATCACCAAGGACCCTAGAATCCATTTCCAAAGACCCCCTATCAGCTGCAAAACCTTATGTACCATATTGTTTCTGTGTTTTTCTGTCATATCCAAATATCCCAGAAATCAGATCCTGTCCTGTGGGTTGTTGCAGACCAAATGTGGGTGGGAGAGTGGACCAGAGAGAGATAATGAGAGTTGGGGGAGATCAGCAACAATTAATGGATTTCTTTGACGGAAAATCTGCAGGAAAATTTGATATGTCTCATCAAATAAGTAAGTGTCCTGAGATTCTTGGCTGAAACCAATGCATTAAAACCATTAAGACAAGGGTTGAGACGCAATTCAGTATGAATGGGTATAACACAAGCATCATAATATGACACTCGGGAAAGATCTTAAAAACATATTGCAAACAGTCAGGCCTATGCCAAAACACAGAGACGTGGTATCAACCAGTCTTAGATACCCCATGCATCCAGCTGGTTAGATTAATGTATTGCCATTTGTGGCCCAAAAAAAAAAACAGTGAAGCACTAAACTGTCCATCCAGTTGGTTCCCCTGACTCAAACATCAATGGGTTGGCGTTCTGATGGGTCATCCCAGGCATGTGTGTTATCCTTTCCAGCATGCAGTAGAGGCAAAAACATGTCACCACAACTGCGAAATACAACTACCAACAGGGCGGGGGCGCCGCCCGGAGGTTTATCATATCACCAACTCTTTAGGGTTTTTCTGGGGGTTGTTTGGGGGTTGTTTAGGGTTTGTTTAGTTTTATTTGGTGGGGTTATCTAGGGATTCATTTAGGGTTTTCGGGTTTTTGGTTTCTTTTTTGGGTTTTTACAACGGTTTTAGTGAAATTTTACTTGAAAGGCTTGCTTAGCGTTTCATGTCAGACTTCGGCTTCAGGGTTTAGGATTTGGGGTTTTGTGTTTTGGAAACAAATCGCGTCAGCCATTTGGCCATTCCGCCGACATCCCTCAAAATTTTGCATAAAACGGGCAGCACCCACGTCCTGGCCGTATCAAATCCACATTGTGTGAGAAGATGCAAGGTCACCCCCTAGATAGCCAAGTTGGTGTATAATTAGATATAACTAGATGAACTGTGGTCTATGGTAGACAATGGGGTAGTTGGTGTTTTGAATATACAATATGTACCAATATACAAGTACCAACTTGGAATCTGGAACTGGGGCACACCACCTGGTATGGTCGTAATTTTGCCATTGCGGAATCGGAGCCACGACGTGCAGGGTGGGCTTTCAACATCAACTTTTGTCAGTTTCTGTTCGGGAGCGACCAAAATGTAGGATAAAGCCATAAAATACTTCTCATATGGGCCAAACAAATAGATTTGAAGTCAAACTGTCACACTAAAATCATATAAAATCCATCTAAAATCCATCTTTTCACACTGAAATCATCTAAAGTCCACATGTTTTAGGGGAAAATGGGATTCGAACATCATCAACCGCCACTGCAACGAGCGACTTCTTGTTGCGGTAGATGAAGTCAACGGGGTCGATCCCCTCCTAGGCCAGGCGAGCATCAACGTGCAACAACGAGCTATCCAAGGTTCTTGAATTTGGGTACCCTCTGGTAATTTAACATAGCTATTGAAAATGGCCATTTATACTTGATTTACCCATTAAAATTGTGATTTCCCATAGTTATGTTAGTTTACCAGAGGCTAAGACATGGTAATGGTAAAACCTGACAAAAACCCTTGGCCATAAATATCATAAATCATATCATGATGGTCAACAGTGCCGCCGCCATTCGCCAAGGTTGAGCCGCATCAAATAGGACATTTAACCGTATGCTGTGGGATATCACCATCAATTTTAAATAAGATCAGAGGTACATCATCTCACTAAATGGACATCAAATTGGGCTTTATTATTGGTTTCCAGTTCGCAAACAGACGTGGGAAACAACCTGTTTGGGTCAAAGAACTGTGATAAAATTCGCAGAGGCGACAGGACACAGATTTTTGGGTCGAAATCCGTTCCCAGCAGAAAACTCTGCTTCAGGCAAGACTCATATAGGGATAATCTTGGTTTCAGGGAAGAAAAACAGGACAAGTCAAAACAGGACATGTCCCAAATTCGAGGGAACAAAGCCATGATACCCTCTGGTAATTTAACATAGCTATGGAAAATCACCATTTTTACTGGGAAAATCCACTATAAATGGTCATTTTCAATAGCTCTGTTAAATTACCAGAGGGTATCCCATGGAATTTCCGGATTCCGGTGGATTCTCCGCCTGCCAAGGCTCCAGCTTCCCAGCCAGGCGACCATAGACCCATACGGTACCGCCCGGCGGTAGCAAGGACAGTAACTTCCCGGGCATGTCGCCACTGATGCAGTCAAAGGCATGGAAGATCCTCAAAAAACAACGGGGGGTGTGGATGAAAAGATGGGTGAAACGATAGTAATTTGTTACATAGCGAAAATTGTCATGTATAGTTTGATTTACCTATAAACGATTGTGATATTCCATAGTTAAATTAGTTTACCAGAGGGTAATGTGGGTTCATATGCCCATATGCTCCAAGGTGCTGGAACGTTTACTTACATTTGGGTGACTGTTAGGGCAAATGTTGGTAAATGTTCCAGCACCATGGAGCATATGGGATGGGTTCATAGGGCAAGCAAAAAAGATGGAAGTTTCAAAGTTCCAACCAAGTGACAAGTTGATGAACTGGTTCTGTATCTTTAGGTGCTATAGCTGTGATTGATATGATGTGGTTTTAAAATGGGATAGCAATGACATGGATAGGGACAATGAATGATAATAATTGATTGACAATGGCTGATATTGTGGAATATTAGAGATAAACAGTATATAATATAATGATGACAATGAGAATAGGCATAATCATTTAGAAAACCCATGATTTTCAAACGGCCAACCCTAAATACTATGCACACATATTGCTTTTTCCTTTTTGTTAATACATACATACATATATATATACTATTAATATATGTATAAATCATTCATAGTAATTTACGATGCAACGTGAAAAACACAAAAACATTTGAGTCATTTAAGGATGATCCCCCCATCGGAAGCGCATCATTCCAGTGACGTCGCAGGTCGTCCATGTTTGGACGGCTAAAAATCATCGACAAATCCATGGCTGAAACCATCTGGAACCCTTACAGTAAGGCATTGACAGGAACGGGATTCGGGGCATGAACATGGTGTACACCGGCCAAACAGCCATTAAGAGGGATACATAATGATCATTAAGTAATGGATTTTAGTGTTCCCTATGTTCAAACAAGCCTGATGAATGATGATATTGATATTGTGTTCGGCAAATATTCCACCCCATCCTATCCCTACTGGAGCGATTGTCCAGTAATTTTGTCCACGGATTGTGAAAGATGATTTTCCAATAGGTTTACTATTGAAACTTGCAATTTTTGCAAATATCATCCAGTCCAAGGAATTTCCCCCAGTGTATTAATGATGATGTTTCCAAATGGTTCCATTGGGTTCGATAATCCTTTCATATTTCATATGTCCCATGCAAAAGTGCCAATCTCTACTATCTTGGGGATTAGTATCATAAACTGGAGGAATTCGAGAAATCAAGCCCCATTTCTGTTGCTTTCTCAACGGCTGGTGCCCAAAACCATGGCCCGGAGGCAGGTCCTTTTTTCGGGTCGGCCAAGGCGCTTCAGTTCTTGGATCAAACTCTGCAGTTTGGACTCCCAGCCATCTTCGCCTCGAAGAAAGTCGTGTCATGATACTCTTCGTATATATTGAACAACGAAAACGTTATTTTTATGTTCATAAACTATATAAAAAAATCAATGACATATTCAGATTTACATACATTATACATACATGTATGTATATATATGTATATACACATTACAAAACAATATCCAATATTATGATTTATATTATCTAATCATATCTACTCAATGTGCTTAAAACAATAATAAACCATCCCCCAAATCACCATAAATAGGCGGTACGAACCATTCCCCGGGTAGTTTATTACTGTTTTAACTACATTACTTCAAATTATACTGCTGATTGTTAGTGGTTGGGCCTCTCCACGGGAGAACAGTTGAATCCGGGATCAACTGTTATCGGGTGAGAATCCAGAGGAAAACCGCCATGAACGCAGCAAAATGAACATCTATAAATTATAAGTGGTCGGCAAGTTCCAAAAGTTAGGGCTGTTTTACTATTGACTATTATTGACTAATTCACTTGCATTTGTTGGAAAAAATGATTTCTGCAACACCCCAGCACATACAACACCCTACAAACATTCGCTTGGGACGGCCAGTGGAAAATTCAGCATCCCAGTAGCCAGGCCATGTAACCAGCTCGAAAACGTGTTGGAACCAACAGGAATTCAACCAATAAACACCAGGAGGTAAAAATAGCAAACACAAATTTCTTAATGCCTGCCGCAAAAAAACACGAACAGTGTAACATCTGGAATCTTCCGCATCTAAAATGGCTCGCTGGAAACCATGGCTGGAACATCACCCAGCTATCATTCCATGATCACTTACCACTTTCATGCGGATGATCCCAGGGATTTCCCAGCCGATGCCTCTGTAACTGGGGGTGGGTCGGGGGAACGAAATGTCCCTTCTGATTTTTGAAGATCCCTCCCCGCGAAACCCCAATGTTGAAGGATTTTTCATCACCTCAGGTAATCAAACATGGCAATCGAAAATCCCACATGGGTATGGATCAATACCTATTAATACAATTTTTAGTGGGATGAACATCCATTTACCAGCTATTTTGATGTTCACCAGGGGTACAGGGTTTTGACCCATCCCCACATTTCAATTCAAAGATCTTCCGGAAAAAAACATGATTTCTAGGGGATTTCCCAGCCTTGGGGCTCTCGCCAAGTTGCTGGTGTCGATGATGTGCTTCGCACCCAGGCGTTCCTGGTGATGGAAAATTGCTGACGCTGACCGCTAAGAGGTAACTTCACACGGCAATGAACAATCCAATGGTAAATGGATGTAAATGGGTCATTGTGATTCATTATGTATAATGCGGGTAAATCATTGCAAATCATCTACAAATGGCAAACCCGTTGTGATTTGTAATAGGCAAAAGGTAAATCATTGTGAATCATATGTAAATGGTAAATCCATGTAAATCCATTGTCATTTGTAATAGGTGCAGCTAATATAAATTATGGTAAAACATCTATGAAGAGGCCAGCCATAATGTGCCACTGTCCATTTTCAATTGCCATGTTACATTACCAAAGAATAAATGTAAATGAGGTGACAATGGTGAACATATCCACACAAATATGATAAATATGTAAAAGACTGGGCTCATCCAAGACGCCCCAAGTATGGGAGTTTATCGCATTGTAATTGATCTTCAGTCTGTTGTTTCCATATGCCGCATGGGCACAAGCTTTCGACGGCAATATGACTCTAAACCAGCAGTCCTTTTCTGTGAAGCTGCTGTTCGCTGGCCATTCTTGAAGCATGCTGATTTGTCTCGTTTCCTCTGGTTGGGTTTTGTTCGAGTTGTTTATATTACCCTCTGGTAAACTAACGTAGCTATAGAAAATCACAATTTTTCATGGGAAAATCCACTATAAATGGCCATTTTCAATAGCTATGTTAAATTACCAGAGGGTACACCTCCCCTACTAGACACGAGTTGGGTCATGCCGTTGCGCCAGTGCGGGGTGTTCCCCGTTGAACTTATGACCCATCCCCACGTGATCAATTCTCAAACTTCCAAACCGATTTTCCGTAAGTGGAGAGCGCCTATCGAATCAAAGCCAACCATATTTTCTATGGTTATCACCCAATATAAACCCAATAGTAATAGAGGTAATAAACCAATAAGCACTACAATCTATGAACAGAGCACTGTTTATAAACATTATAAACCCAATAGTAATCACCTCAAAAGTGCAAGCGGACCTTTCGTTTTTGGATGTATTTCCTTTAATGCGGCGCCGATATTTTCCAAGCCATCCACAGACATCCCAAACTACTATGTACACCCCAAGCAGTCAATGATTCAACCCCCCTATATATCTATATTTAGTGGTAAAAACACAGTAAAAACCATTGGTTTCCTGTTGAATTTCCCTTGAACCAATCTAATGAGTTGTCCGTCCCAGCGTCCAAGATGGCCACCTGCTCCTTCCGCCGAACGAGGTTCACCACCGTTGCGCCTTCCGCGCCTTCGGACTGACCTGGCAACCAGCGACCAGCCATGGCTTTTCCATAGCAACTCCAACAAAAAAGGCCGGGAAAAAAGGTGAAACCTGAAAAAAAAACATGGAAAATCATTGGAAAACATCATCAAACTTAGAACTTTACCATCCTGAAACATGATTTTCGGCAACTTTTTAAGATTTTTAGTTGCTACACACCCAATCTATGGAGGATTGATTGAAAACTTGGGGTCTGATCGGGTTTTGAGCCTACTAAACTGGCGATGAAACCAAAGCAAATTGTGATTTTATCAACTAGTTCCATTATTTATGCTAGATCACTCACGCTTGTCAAGTAACAGCAAAACTATGCAGAACAACGATGAACAACGTTCATTGAAATAAATTTTGTTGCTGTCCCATTTTGGGGCTATGTGTCTGAGCAATTCATCATACCAGAAACCAAAACTTCAGCCTCAATCTTCCAACTCGTGGTCTAAGCAGCCATGTCCACCGTTTGCTCTTCAGCACTTAAAGTTATATAATAAATAAATAGTTCTGATGTCACACAAGAAATAGAGTGAATCTGTGCATTTCGGGGTGCCATATGGGTGACTATAGTGGTCACTGTCCAAGCATGGTAATGAGTAGCGACATGGATGAATGAAAAACCATGGCCTAGAATCTCTGGAATGAAGAAAGTGGAGAGAAACTGTGCTGAAATAAGTCGATGACAAAAAAAAGTGCTGATGAATTACAAAAAATAGTGCTGATTACCAGTTTTCTTCAGGCTTCTGAATTGAAGCAATCCCTCCCTGGCATCACAGTTTACATGGCCATGTCCAATAGAAACTATAGCTACAACGTATACATCAATCCTGGAAAGACATGTTTCTGGTATTTTTGGGTGCTCCAGAAAACATCGCCTAAAGCCCCAAAAAAAAACATAATACGATTTATAGGTTTTTCTTATGGGTCTAGGTTCCCTGCAGCCCCAATTTGCCAACGAGCCACAGTATCTCACCAACATTTGTCCCACCTGCGAGGCAGCTGCCTCGGTGCTGGGCACCCGTGGAAGCTGAAACGAGTTTGCTCGCAGTTGGGGTACCTTGAAGATCTTTGAAACATCTTGAAATATAGAATGGGATGTAATGGTATATAATGGGATGCTATGAAACAGCATTGAAACTCAAATTTTCATAGGATACGTTGAAACATCTTGACACTACCCTTTGGTAAAATTGGAATGTAACGGTAATGGAATGATCCTATACTTCTGTTGGGTTTACCCTCTGCTAATCAAACATGGCCATGGAATATTGCCCACTTTGATGATTTTTGTCCAGCTATAAACCTTCATTTACACTCTAGTAAACTAACGTCCCTTCAAAAACTTTAGTAAAACACACGTATTTTCCAGGTTATTTTTTTGTAAAATGGCGATATCCCAGGAAAAAAATGGATAGCTATGTTAGCAGCGTCCTTCTTTGATAAATCTATATACGTGCGATGGGGAACAACATAATAGCCATGTTAGTGGGCCTCCTTCTATGTTGGAAACCTTGAGCGATGTAAAATGATAGCTATGTTAGTGGGTTTCCTTCTATGTTGGACACATTGAGTGCTGTAAAATGATAGCTATGTTAGTGGGTTCCTGTTCATTTTTTTCTTACTTGTTTATTGTTGATGCTGTCCGGTGGCTCGAGGTCTTTGGGGAACATGCTGGTCTGGCAAACAAAAAGCGTGGCTAGGTTAGCGTTGTAAAATTTGAAAACACACAGCTACGCTTGTCTACCGGAGAGTAGTTCGGGGGATTACCGGAGGGTAAATCTTGACACTTGTGACGCTGGTGAAATCTTCTACTTTTTCTGTTTGTGTGTGACTATTCCGTGACCCTATCTTTTCTATGCGTGAATTGTCCATATCTGCCTATAGATGATTTGTCCTCATATTTTTAAACGTACAAGTACACTATGGATGAGTCTTCCCATCCCTTTCCTACTGAAATAATGCGGCAAACCCAATGCCAGGAACCATCTGGGACACCATTCAAGGTAGGTTGTAGTAAACATCATTAGGGTTATACCATGTTATACCCATTTCATGTTAACCCCAATTGCAGATCCCGTAACTATCCCATGATTTGTCCTAATTCCATTATTAGGTTTACAAAATTATCATAATTATCTATGTTGAGGATTGATGGGGTTTCCAAATCATGTGTCATTTACATATTAAACTTACATACTGTAGGCTTCCAATGGTTTCCAGGACATTTATATGTTTCAATCTCACCATCTTTTTCACGGCTGGGTCACGGCTGGGTCCCTTCCAAGCGGCCGTGTGGATGAAGACGTTGGACTTGTGCACCCGCACGGCCTCGACCATGGAGAGCACGGTCAAGGGATTGACGTAGCCAGCGCCTGGAACAACACGGTCAACACGGCCGCCGGAGATGAGGAGGAACTCCAACTGGCTCCCCATTTGTTTGCAATATGTATGCATACTGAATAGCCAAAGCGCCAAAGGGTTCCCTAACCCCCAGCAGTTTCGAAGGCCCAGGTGCAGGCATCCTCCACGGGGACATCTTTGGGAAGCTCCGTGAGCATCACCTGGGCAGAAATCTCAGAACCAACTGACACTAATGTGACTCTCTCTCTCTCTCTCTATTTATATATATATATATATATTGTGTGTGTACACCATATACCGTAGTTTTTGTTTTGTTTACGTTGTTGTTTTTCTTATAGTTTCTTTCTCTCTATCTCTCTATTGTAAAGTTCAACAGAAGCTGTTCTGCTTTTTTGGTGTTGTTAAGTCAAGTGGACTTTTGTATATGATAAGAGTTTTCCAGGCTATGGTTGGAATAGCAGCCGGTTGAAGTGAGAAAACTATAGAAAACTATACTATAGATGACCTTTGGACACCGCAAGAGATTGGACTTGCTCAAACGACTGGGCCTTCCAATTCCCACTGTCCAACGACTTGAGACCAATTTTGGCCATGCCTTTTTTGCTGGTTGCCAAATGACTCGTTTGCGATCCGAACACCATGGCTCGTCAATCTGGATGGTGACCCTACGTTGAGAATCATTCAGAAAAACTTGTGCGGTTGCTATCATTTGATGTGGGTAAACCATGGTGACCCCAAATAATTATAGTCAACCAATGTCAATCATCCCAAACTTCAACGGAAGGTGGTGGTATAAACCCTCCAACATTGGAGTGTTTTTGTTGGGTCTAGCCTAATCATCCCATCATCCCTGGCCATCCGTGGGACAGCATCGGCGATGGCGTATTGGGCATAAGCTTTCCCCAGGAAGATCACGTCGCAACCCATCCAACCTGCGCGAGCGAAGTAAGGTACTTCACCGGGTTGATACCAAACAAAGGGACACCATTTATTATCCAAATGTAAAACAAAAGTATAGGGAAGAATTCGCCATATTATAATGCCAACAAAAACAGGTTTCTAGAACTTATACATCTGACCTGAAAGCACTTCTCGGACGACTCAAGTTGGGATATTCCTCATGGCCAATCTTACAGGCCCTGCTACAACAAATTATGTTTTTCAAGCTAATTGCGAAGATATCCCGATTTACAGAAACTAAAATAAAATATCTAAACCTAAGTTCTCCATCCAAGGAATTTACCCATTAAATATTGAATCATAATTGGGTGATGCTTAGTTCCCCGGTTGCGGTTACCCATTCTTGCCGGTCAAGCCAGCGTCCAGTCAATTCCCTTGCCTTGTGGATCATCTTTCATACCCAGTTGCTACGGTGAAATCCTCATCTCCTGATAATTGTACAAATCACAATGTTTGATGGTTGTCAATACTGAAGAACCACCCCATATCGTCATCTGTTTTTGTATAGAAAAGGTTTTGCAGCCGATAAGGGGCCTATGGAATTTGATTCTAGGGTCCTTGGTGATTTAGTTCATCTCTGATTGTGTGATATATGTTTTCCAACATTCATTTCTTTATCTATCTTATCGATCAAGGTAGGTGGCCGTGGTATATACTAGCGATTTTTTCCCAAAGGAAAAATAGTTTTGGGTTAGTGTCCCTTGGATGTTTCAATATTACTAATTCTTATCTGTCATTCGGTAGTCATGCCAAGAAGGGGATTGATAATTAGCCTCTCCATCCATTTACCCTTCTACTTGTGGAAGTACCAGTCAGAACAAACGATCACCAATTCGATCGTAGTTCAGATATGTTTTTTTTGGTTGAGTACTTAGATAAAATACGATAAAATATAAAATAAAATATTGTTATGCGACGGATTTGCGGTGGCGATGGATTTGGGGTCCCCCGAGCCGAAAAGATCGTTTTTTGTTTGCCTAAATCTCAAAAATGAAGGACCCCGAATCCATTGCGGGAAAAATCATGGTAGAATATAATAGTAAGGCCGTTTCCTAAGTCCACATGCAAATTTCTGCACCCTGATATCGGCAAAAAAAAACATGTTTTTTCCTAAATCCGAGGGTACAACCTCTGTATTGCCAAAGTCTAGGTGCAGAAATGTGCACCTTGACTTAGGCAATACCCCACCAAGCACCTGGGATATCGTGAAAAAAATGCTTAAGTCAAGGTGCAGATTTCTGCACCCTAAGTTCGGCAAAATTATTTTGGACATTGCATTTAAAGGATATATGATGTAGACGTAGAAATAAGGGGAAAATTTAGTACTTGAATAAAAGAGTGATCATCAGGGATAATATTGGTGGCTTTATACCACAGGTATATGGGAGCACCGCCCTAGAAGAAACATGAGCGTGGTTTTTCAACAAATAGATTTAGTACATACCCTATAAAGGGATGATACGTATTCCATTTTAAATCAGCAATTGGTCGGGCACCCTTTAAGGGAAATGGTAGTGGACCCCTGTTTATCCAAAGAAGATGATAGAAAAAATAATCGTGATCGATACTGGAATGATACCAATTTAATCAACCAATTGGTTGCCTCAGGGTGAAAATAACAATTAGTATACAATTAGTGCATATGATTATCCATGGGCATGGTAGAAAACAAATAGATACATTAAATAACCAATGGTAAGATGATACCCATTTAATCAACCAATCGGTTACCTCATAGGGGAAATAAGGTACCTATAATACAATTCAATTCCACCATATAAAATATTTGGAAAGACCCAAGAATCCATTTCCAGAGACCCCAGATCAATTGCAAAACCTTAGAAAAACATTTTTGATTACACAAATACTTCATTATGTTTCGCCTTTTCATAATTAATATCTAGACCATTCTATACCTATACATTGAGTTGGTTTATACCATGTTACAACCAAATTAACCATAGCAATGATTAGCACAAGCCCTACTTTCCTAGTACCAATGATGTTGACCAACTTACTTATCGTTTGGGGAAAAACCGTATCTCATCGAAATATGGGTTTGTCTGAAAATAGACCCCCAAATCCATCGGATTATAACTAGGAACACGGCCTTTAGAAGGCCGTGGGTTTTTTTTTTGTGATCAATGGTGTATCATGGATGATTCTTGATGTGCCCGTGCCAATAGGATTTTGTTTTGATGTGATTTTTAAGGCCGTTAACCCCTTATTCTGGTGCATATTTTCAAAAACAAACATTTCGTCTAGACGAAACTACCATTTTTGGGGTTTGTGAGAATTCTCAAAAATATTCAACGTGACATGTTTTGATGAGGTTTTTAAGGCCGTTAACCCCTTATTCTGGTGCATATGTTCAAAAACAAGCATTCCGCCTAGACGAAACTACCATTTTTGGTGTTTGTGAGAATTCTCAAACTAATTCGGCCTGACATGTTTTGATGTGGTTTTTAAGGCCGTTAACCCCTTATTCTGGTGCATATTTTCAAAAACAAGCATTTCGCCTAGACGAAACTACCATTTTTGGGGGTTTATGAGAATTTTCAAAATATATCAAAATATTCAACCTGACATGTTTTGATTCCTGTGTTGGTCACAGCAACGCTTGGAGTTCTTCCAAGAACCTTTGCGGATCTGGATTGTTTAAGGTACAACGCCAGCACCACATGAACACATGGAAAGTTCCAGAGAACTTACAATAGCGTGGCATGACGCATGAGTGGAAAGTTCCAGAGAACTTACAGTAACGTAGCATGACGTATGGGTGGAAAGTTCCAGAGAACTTACAATCGCGTGGCATGACGCATGAGTGGAAAGTTCCAGAGAACTTACAATAGCGTGGCATGACGCATGAGTGGAAAGTTCCAGAGAACTTACAGTAACGCAGCATGACGTATGAGTGGAAAGTTCCAGAGAACTTACAGAGAAGCATTTCCTTCCTCCGCAAGTTCACATGAACCTTATTACATGTCCCACCCCACCCCCCCGATGTGTACAAAACACCACGGCCTTCTCAAGGCCGTGGTCCAACTATATATATATATATTACGATCATGTTCCCCATGTTCCAGGAAACCATTTCGAGGTGTAATGTGGGTAAAACAATGCCATAAACCATCCCCCAAATCACCATATATTTATATATATATATATGTATAATAGGTGCTATATGGTGCTACGCACCCTTCCCAAAAGGAGGCTCATGATAGTTTTTTATGGTTTTCCCTATGTTTTACCCCACATTTCGGACACGCCACCTGCCGCAAGGGCGCCGCCGCCAGTGGCCACCACAGTGCCGGACCCCTCGGTGCCCAGAGGCAACGGATAGCCCTGGGATGGCGGCACTTTCCTGAGTGGGGATGATGGGTAGATGTAGCAGAACTTCATGGTATAGTTATTGATGGATACGCGTCCGCAGTACTGAGGACAGAATTATCATCTCCCCATACATCGTCTGTATGCCCATGTAAAAGGGTACAGAATTTATACACAAGCACTGAACACATGGATGTACGATGATTAGCCAAAATTACCCTATTTGCGGATAAGCCTTTGGGCTTTGTCTGCTGTACGGCATGTTCTTGTCCATGCGGAACTAACATAAACATGACTGGGGATAGGTCTAAAATGGCTTTGGCACAGGTATAACAACTGACAAAACGATACGATCTGAATCGTTGAATAGTATTGCGGTTCATCCATGTTTTCTGGTAATCAGGTTCAATCCATACACGGAAGTCAACATTTTTCACAGGAGGCACATTCACAATAAATCAAGGGTGTAATGCGGGTAAAACAATAATAAACCACCCATTTGGGACTGGTTTATACCACCTATTTATGGTGATGACTGGGGGATGGTTTATGGCATTGTTTTACCCACATTGATGGGAACAACGATTATAAAACCATTATCAAATCTGGAAATAACCCTTAATTCACCATTATGTTTAACCGTTAATAACCATGGAATCCCACATTAACAGATTTCAGATTGATGCAATCCTTGCAACGAAACGACCAACAAATGAGGTCAGAACAGCCTGGGGATGTCTCGGTCCGAGCTGATGAATTTTTGGACATGAGGGAATTCACCCGTGGCAACGTTCACAATCACGGCATCAAATATGATATGGATATATGGAAATACCAAATAAGATTCAAAATGTCTACCAGGCAAATCACAATCATTCATAGATATTAATACTAATTGTTATATATATATGATTACATATAAGTTATCTCATATGCAAAGTCCAAGCCGAATGCCATGAATGCCATGACAGGGGCATCTGAAGGCCCAGCTTCCAACTTCCTTCATCTGAAGGATTCACAGGACTTGCAGCCACTTTGATCAACACCTGTCCTCTGAATCAGGCAGCTCCCAACGCCCCAAAAAAAAACAGATGGGGTGGAACTGGGTAGAAAAAGTTGAGTAAAATGTGAGGTAAAATGTCCTCTCAACCCATTTACAATGGCTTGGAGCTGCCCTTAAAGTGCCTCGAGACCAGGAAATCCTGTGGAGAATCTGATCAGTTCGGTCCTGACTTTGGCTGTGGAACTTCAACTTCCTCCACCTCGATCTTCGCTTTCGAAAAAACCTTGGCCGGAGTGACGGCTTCATGGGAAGCCCCATGGTGCTCTGTGGGCTTCACCGGACGATGAACCGCTTCCGGGGCAAGGGGCTTTCAGTGCTGAAGTTTTTTGCTTGTCCCAGACATGCACCGAAAATGCCAATTTCAGGACGATGATCATTCGCGGGATTTTGGCTGCGATATTTTCAAACAAAGCCATTGCAGCAAATCATACCAGATTCACCCATACATAAATCATTTTTTAAATCAAATCATAATTCACCCGTGCGATCATACCACATCATTATAAATAACCCACAAAGTGCCACAAAGTGATGATATCCCATTCATGTGTGTTGGTTTAAAACCACCATTAATTAGTTTGATAATATTTGATACATGTATCATAGACCCTAACATAGTTATTAAAGTTATAGACCAGTTCTAAGCTGGTTTCTAATTCTGTTTTAGGATAGATCGATAGATAGATAGATCGATAGATAGATCGATAGATCGATAGGTCGATAGATGGATAGATCGATAGATCGATAGATCGATAGATCTATAGATCGATCGATCGATCGATAGATCTATAGATCGATCGATCGATAGATCGATAGATCGATAGATCGATACATCGATAGATCGATACATCGATAGATCAATAGATCGATAGATAGATAGATAGATCGATAGATAGATAGATAGATCGATCGATAGATCGATAGATAAGAGGTAGATAGATAGATGGATCGATCGATAGATAGGTAGATCGATAGATAGATAGAACGGTAGATAGATAGATAGATAGATAGATCGATAGATAGATAGATAGATCGATCGATAGATCGATAGATAAGAGGTAGATAGATAGATGGATCGATCGATAGATAGGTAGATAGATCGATAGATAGATAGAACGGTAGATAGATAGATAGATAGATAGATAGATCGATAGATAGATAGATCGATCGATCGATCGATAGATCGATAGATATATAGATATAGATAGATAGATCGATCGATAGATCGATAGATAAGAGGTAGATAGATAGATGGATCGATCGATAGATAGATCGATAGATAGATAGATCGATAGATCGATAGGTTGATAGATCGATAGATCGATAGATCGATAGATCGATAGATCGATCGATCGATAGATCTATAGATCGATCGATCGATCGAAAGATCGATAGATCGATACATCGATAGATCGATAGATCGGATAGATAGATAGATAGGTAGATAGATCTATAGATAGATAGATAGATCGATCGATAGATAAATAGATAAGAGGTAGATAGATAGATGGATCGATGGATAGATAGGTAGATAGATCGATAGATAGATAGAACGGTAGATAGATAGATAGATAGATAGATCGATAGATAGATAGATAGATAGATAGATAGATACATCGATAGATCGATAGATCGATAGATAGAGAGATCGGTAGATCGATAGATAGATAGATAGGTAGGTAGGTAGGTAGGATAGGTAGGTAGATAGCTAGGTAGGTAGATAGATTGATAGATAAAGATATATACATACCATAAACCTTAGTAATTATCCTTAGTGATTTTAGTATTTATATTAGCTATATTACTTAGAAACCCACTTACCTAATGACACACCAAGTTCGAACTGAGGGATAACTCTAATCACTAGCTTCATTATTGCAGATATAAATTCATAAACCATAGTGAACCTAGTTTTATAAACCCCAACTTGGCTAACTATGGGGCACCACCAGTCGCCCAGCTTCCACATTGGCCTCGCGCAGCACCAGGCGCCGCATCGTGGCCGGCAGCGGTTCCGCAGATTTCTTCGGGCGGGCGCGGAGGCGAAGCCAGCCGAAGCCTTAAGCCATCAGGATCGCCCAGAATTGGAAGTACCATGTGGGCCCCCCCCAGTTATGTTTATTGGTTTATCAGCCGCATTTATACATAGTTGCACCTACAAGCCTAGTGAAATTGGAGTTATGAGCCAACTTAGCTAATTATGGGGCACAACCATATATAAGAGCTATTTTTAGGGCTAAGGGAATATAACCCCCAAGTTCTCTGGCTTTATATGGTTCTTCAACGGGGGGGTCCCCAAGTCACGGTTTTATTTTTTAAAATATACTCAAATGGTCTAAGGTTGGCAAATGTTGGCAACTTTAGATGATTTGGGGGTAGCCCCATGACTTAGGAAACCCCCTGTTCTTTCTGTTCTTCATCGCGTAGATCAAAACATGGCGTGATCATGGGGATATGATAAGATACAATGGGGATATTACACATTTGAAATATATAATTTCATCATAGAATGATCCCATTATTATGTTGGGTTTACCCTCTGGTAATCAAACATGACAATAGAACGTGTCCTATTTATAGCTGATTTTCCCATTGACACTTCCGTTCACATAGTACATGTTCCATTGCCATGTTTGACTACCAAAGGGTATTTCAAATTAAGTATGGGCTGATAACAGCTTAGCTCTTCTCAGGTGCTACATGTCGTGCAAACGTCAGCTAGGAGCGGGGAATGTTGTGAGGATTTTTGAGGTTCCCCACCTGCCAGGTGAGGGTTGTTAGATTTTATCAGAGCTGTTCTTCTCCACCTCGGCTAGCTCTTCTCCTCCTCCTCTTCCTCCTCCTCTTCCTCCTCCTTCTCCTCCTTCTCCTCCTCCGCCTCCTCCTCCAGTTTCTCCTCGACCATGTCTGCACCAACTTCCACCTCTACTTCCGCCTTGCCAACTCTTCGCCAAGCTCTTCGCCAACTTCCGAGCTCAGTGCGCGCTGCTGGACCTCAACCTGGGACCTTCCCAGCTCAGTGCACTGCTGGACCTCAACCTGGGACCTGCCCAGCTCAGTGTGCACCGCTGGACCTCAACGGCCAGATAGAATGCCAGAAGATATGCCAGATAGAATGTCAGATAGAATGCCAGAACATATGCCAGAAAATATGCCAGATAGAATGCCAGAAGGTATGCCAGATAGAATGTCAGATAGAATGCCAGAAGGTATGCCAGATAAAGTGCCAGAATGTTTGCCAGATAATATGCCAAAAGATATGCCAGATAGAATGCCAGATGGAATGCCAGAAGATATGCCAGAACATATGCCAGGTAGAATGCCAGAAGATATGCCAGATAGAATGCCAGATGGAATGCCAGAAGATATGCCAGAACATCTGCCAGAAGATATGCCAGGAATGCCAGAAGCTATGTCAGATAGAATGCCAGATAGAATGCCAGAAGATATGTCAGATAGAATGCCAGAAGATTTGCCAGTAACAAAATGTATAAATGTCATGGTGGGGATCACACGAAGTAAAGTGATTATGATAACAGGGGTATAGTAGTATGATGTAATATGCCCATTATTTTGATGATTTTTACAAATTATTCTGCATACTTGGAGGGTCTAAGTAAATAGAATGGGACTACTACCCCTCCAACATTGAACAGCCCCATTCAACAGTCCCAAATATATAAGTGGATGTACCGCCTACTAAACGATGGTTTCTGGGGTGTGTTAAATATTATTTCACGGGAAAAACATGGAAAAACTACGCGGGATAACCAACACATGTTTGGGAGTTGGAGTTTTCAATGGCTTTGACCAATGGGGAAACATAACAGATGGAACATTGGGATTTCAAATGATCCTGCCCGCACAGTGGATGGCTTGGGGACATCCAGATCTACAGTAGTTGGTAGTTTCAGCCCACTAATGGATTGCAATAGGAGAAATGCTCGTATTTGGCAAAGACCTGCTGGAAAAGTGCAGCCACCATCCTGAATATCCAAAATCAAGGCGAAATGTGGGTTTGAGTGAACATAAGCATTGATATTCAGCGTCTCCGGTGCGCAGGGGTCCATGTGGGGCCCCCTAGTGGCCCTATGGTCGACGCCAAGAAGCAACCACCAGCCACCAGCAAAGCGCCACAGCAGCTCTCCATGGCGTCGGCCGGTGGCCTGGTGTAGGGACTCAAGCAACACAGATCATGGAATCCAAGGAATGATGGTTGAACATGGTTGAAGAATGTTGAAGAATCAATTCCAGAAAAAGAAAGCAGCAAGGTATTTTGAAACTTGGTTTCAAAGGATGACTTGTCCTTTTCGACATGCGCAGTTTGAGGTAATGTGTCAAAATTCAAAGCTGAACATTCAAGGGCTTGCTCCGTGCACATGCTCCCAGTTTCAATTGTCCAATTGCGTCCAGCTCTCAAACGACATCCTCTTGGAAATCCTAACTCCTGCCTATTAGAAAAAAGTCCCTGGCGCTGCATTCTCAGCATGGCCAAGATTCACTTTATAGATACACCTTCATCATCCTACATGATTTCCCTCCACGTTCTGGCTGCAAATCCGCCTGAAGCCCAACATCAAAAAATCAACAGCCCGAGGCGCCAATGAGAATGCCAAACCATCAACGAAGGGCTGTGAAGGAACAACTACCATTCAAAGTATAGCACGGTAGCACTACACGATTGTTTGAAAAATCTGGAGGGGTTCCACTCATTCGGTTTCATGATTCCCCTACAATAAACTCACATAGCTATGGAAAATGAGCCATTTATAGATGATTTACAATTTAAACAATGTATGTCAGTTTACCAGAAGGTATGCTCCAAATAGTTGGAGGATCATCCATCGTAACCTGGAAAGCCCTGGGCAAAAACCAGAAAGGAAAGCCCTGGTAAGCAATGGCTAGTCCACCAATTTACAGTAGTTTATGACCATCATTGACCGTCATTGACCGTCATTGACATCACTGACTGACAAAAAATGAGCAACTCTATCGGTTGATACAATCATATGTTTATATTTCCAGCACATTGTTGATCCATGTGTATCTAAGGGTCAACAGCTCCCCAGGGCCATGCCCATCTACGTCTCCGGTGCATCGGGTCGTTCACTTTCATCGACCTCAGCACCGGGGCGCACCGGCCATCATTGGAATTGAGATGGCAATCCCAAAGTCGCGTTGAAAACTTGCAGTCAATACATACATATACACATATGTAAACATATCTATAACATGCGTACATTACGCATTTTCATGTATACACTACACATTAAAAATCATAACATATACTGCAAATTGGAAAATATGTATAATATATATATATATGTATGTATGTATGTATATATATATATATGTATATAAATGTATATATATATATATGTGTGTGTGTATATATGCACGTGCAGTGAAACCACCAGCCTACCGAGCTGTTTTGATATGCAGTCACTATGCTTCAATTTAGGTGATACAGTATACTGATAATACATGAATAATTAGATTATATACAGATTTGCCTGTAAAACTCCCAGGGAAGAAGTAAAACATGTATTGAAGACACTACTAGGATCCTGCAGTCAATTGAGATAATATTTAAGCACATCAATCCCATTCCCACCTGTTACATGCTGCACCATTGTTTCCTTTTTGCATCTTTCTTTCTACTCCTCCTGAAGCAAACAACATAACTGTAACATAACATCATCCTCCCAATCAGATCATCTTTTTACCACCTCCCCACCAACCGTATTAAAATCTGGTAGCCCCAAATTCTTAAAATTGAAGGGTTGATACATGAGATAATACCATCCAACATCTGAAGTTATGCTAAAACATGTAAAAACCTCATGTTCGCCACTTCTTCAGCCAATAAAACAAATCAACATCCAATTTCATCCCATTTCCCCCATGTCATGGCCATATCCCCACCGAGTCATCACAACGCCAAGGCACGGCCAACATCCGCGAGACCAAGCGGGAAGCGCCTGGTTCCTTCTCGAAGACCGGGTGGCTCCAGCTCACCCTGACTCCGGTGGAACATCCGTGGGTCCCTAGAGGAAGGGGAGCATTTTGATAAAGAGTTGGATCATGTTGGATCGATATCTCCTGTTCTATCTATCTGTCTATCTATCCATCCATCCATCCATCCATCCATCTAGTAAAAAAATGAGTCCGAGTATGGGTGTATTAAATGTGTGTATTAATGTGTGTATTAATGTTTGTTGATGGTTGAAAATGACATGATAGGAGATAGTCTCAAGTCCATAAGACCAAAAAGGATGCTGAATCGCTTCAAATGATGCGTGCGATGCTTGAAACCTTGACCAAAATATGGCAGAAGACTTGGCATATGAAGGTATATGATGGTATATGGATGTATTACATGTAAATGGGCTTTGGTCTTCCCAACATCCGAATAGGATTGGGGATTCCTTAGGGTTGACCCATCCGAAAAACCGCATAATTATCTCGCTTTTGACACGAAACACATATGCAAAAAAAAACGCTGGCTGACGACATTGGTCACCAAGCATGGTAATATCATGTGACTAGAAACATGCGACTAGAAAGACACATGTGACTAGAACAAAGGAAAAATAAAAACACATGTGACTAGATGGTGCTTTGTCACATCAAACCGAAACGCTTAAATCCGGGATATGTTGGGAGCCAAAAACAGCATTACCAGGCCAGCCAGGCCGCCCTCAACATCTTTCAACATCCCTGTTCCGGCCTGGCATCGCAGAGCTTTTGTTTTATTTCCTTCATCTTTGGAGAACCAACCCAGTTCTCCCCTGAGCTCCGTGGTGATTTTTTGGTGAGGACCGGACAATGGCTCGGATCATGCACAACAATCTGTGATATAGACATGCCCTCCAAAAAAATCCGAGTTCGACGCCATCTTTGCGGGCATGGAAAATGAGTTGCAACTATTATAGAGCCCAAATATTTTTTTTTATTATCATGGCAATTATTGGCCAAGAATTGGTTAGTTTATTTCACAGTTTGCCATTATCCACTAAAATGAGTTATTTTCAGGCTCGAACTGCCCAAACCTGGGTCCGATCGAGATCTGAGGCATCCACCGGGCTTGTCGTCGAACAAGCGGCCATTGTAAGGGAAGGAGCCTGACACAGGATCCGGACGACTGGAAACTACGATCCTTAGGCCATGTTTAGGCTTTAAAGAGATGAGCTGGAAAATCATCATTTTTTGTAGGTAAATGTTCAATAGCAAACCTGGTAGTTCAGCAGAGGGTAGACACCAAAACATCCATCATCATCCATCCTACAACGACCTGTCAGCATCTTGTAGGCGATGACACCCACCGCGAAAATGTCCGAAGCGGGTGAATATTTGCCTGGCATGGAACGAAGATCAGGGCCATGTGGATGGCTGACCTAACCAGTATACTGGTACAATGCCCCTGAAAAACAAACTAATGCTTAGTAGGGAATGGGGGAATGGGGTGATTACGAATATTATTGTGGATCATTCTCCCGTTTCCTATACTAAGCAACAGTAAGTCAAACCAAAAAAAATATTGAACAAACGATGCGAAACTATAAAGTGCTATAATGGGTTAGTGCTAGTCCGTATTCCAGGATATTCCCATTCATGCCCCTTCCAAGGAGGGCAAATCACACTTTGACCCAGGTTGACTGGCCAAGGCACCCTGCAAAACGCCACGGAAGATCTACAAGTCTTGCGGTGGATGATGCATGTTCCGTGATCCGTGGCTGTAAATATAGGCCAAAGGAGTTTGATGTAGGGATCCCGTGTAGTAGTACTATGTTATGTGTTATAGTTGACGAAGTTGCGACTTCCACTTTCAAAGTGATACAACCAAAATCTCCAAAGTGAGACATTTACCAACCTGGACAAACACCATAAAAAATGTTTAAAAAAATTCGAACATTCCAAAATATCCAAAGTGCTTCATTTCGATTCATGTCCACCAAAATTCTCATGCGCAAATAGGCTACAGCAGTCAGCCGCCTTCATAGGCCTCTGGGGCAATGTATTGATCGGTGCCCAGCACGTGTCGCGACTTCTGACTGGTGGAGTTCCTCGGACCAGGCTGGGCTCGGAGCGTGTAGAGATGTCAAACCTTTGTTGGGCCTGGGCAAGGTTATATACTATACATTTAAATATTCGATGAGAACCTGGTTATATATATATAATTATATACCAGCTCCCCTTGAATTTGAAGTATTCTTCTTCCAGCTGAAAATTTGTAAGAATCCGGGTGAAAAGTTCTTCTTGCCTAAAATCTGTACACATCCAGGGGGAAAGTTCTTCTTGCACAATTTCTCCGGGCTGTCTCTTTTTCTTGCGTTGCCCCACCATGTCATGGGAAGTGAAGCAATCCTCGCGATCACATGGGCGATTAGCATCACAAAGCGTCTATCAGGTATCGCCATGTGAGCAGAACATCTAGAAAAACGTAGCAGGCCATTTCAGAAACAATTGGTTCATTCTGCATCCTTACCAGTGCTTGTTTGTACCGACTCTTGGAAGCAAACTGGGTTGTCATTGGCCAGCTGAGCCTAAACATTGCCTCCAGAAAGCAAAATACCATCCCGCTTGAGCTCAAGCTAACAGACCGTGCTCGGCTGTGTGCAAAACGCGTCAAAAACTGTTATTCAACCCGATGCCATGTCACGAGAACGCATAAAAGTGGAAAAACTATCCAAGTAGGAAACAAAAAAACATCATGGCTTGCGTCAGTTTTTTCCAAAATTCTTCATCCAACTCCTGCTTTTCTTGTTCTAATTCTCTGCGCCAACTCCGGCTTTCTCTGCATTTAGTCCGGTGTCAGGGTTTCTCCGGGTTATCTCCCCCGAAAAACATTTAGTAGGATTCTTGTCCTGCTTGCTAGGCGGTATTTCAAGACCAGTGGGCAGGATTCTTCTAATTTCTCCGGGCTGCATGCTGCTACACATTTCACCAATAGGGTCCACAAAGATATCTTGGGATCAAATGAATGGTAAGCCGGTTCGAAACACAAATTGCTTGATCAGCCTCCAGCCACTGGTCATTCCAGGGGGCAGATTGAAAGATCTCAGGCACGTTCAAACTGCGATCCACACTAGGGCAGCCATCCGTCCTTGCCGCCAAGAGCGGGCAAATCATCTGGATGTGAAGACCGAATGGTAGAAACGGGCGTAGCTTGCTGCAGTAGTGACCAAGAAGTTTGCATCAGCGCCCAGCGCCCAAGATGTTCGCAGTTGCGTGCGCATCTACAGCGCAACAGCTGTCGTGGCAAGAATTTGCTAAACCCCAAATGGCTGTGCAATTGGTAGATGCGCGCCAGAAACATCGCGATGGATGGAAAAAGGTACCTTTTTTTCAACCAGGTACCTTTACTAGGTGTTTCCGGGTGCCTGGTATATGTATATATATATACAAGTTAGTAAGGTTTGAATCCAGTAATCTGGGCAAGGTTATATAATCTGGGTTATTGTTGGATCTTAAGTGAAGCTCAATTCCAATGATTTTAGTGTGATTGTGAGATTCGATCAGGTCCTTCACACTGTTTTTGCCTCTGATCATTCTGGACAAACAGTTGGAGTTCAAATGCTGTCATTAACATTAATTAACAATCATCCTGCCACCCACACATGTCTGGGGCACCTTTAAAAAAAAGGATGCGACGAATTTCGAACCACAAAACAAATCCAGAGATGAACAAAATGCATCCGTTTTTAGGTTCTTTGCAAATTGTGCAAGCACCATATCCAAAGAACTTGGATGGCATGATGGCATCCTTTATTCTACCCACTGGTTATTTAACATGGCTATCGAAAATGGCCCACATATAGATGGTTTATGGTGATTTACCTATGAAACATGGTGATCTTCCATGGCTACGTTCCATGGTTATGGCTTCCAATTCCCGCCCTTCATGGGGCCCGTCCAAATTCTGAGGAAGAAACCATTCCTCCACCGTGTCGAAATCGATGAGTTTGACCTCAGGAGCCCCTGGTTGCCAGTCCCCCCTCCCCAAATGAACAATCAGACCCTGCCATTGCCACCCATTGCCCTGGAATTCCTGAGCTTCAAACACCGGCCCCAGGACCTGCATGCTTGCATACCATGGTTGAAACATGGGAAATTCATGGAAGATTCATGGAGAATAATGGATGATCATGGAATATAACTATAACTATAACATACTATAACCGTTGGTATAACCAACTATATATGCAATTTGAATGGCTAATAGTGGGTCTACCCGATTTATAATTCCATTTATGGCCAATGAAGAATAGGACAGTATGGTTAACCAGTGGGTGGAATGTGGTACCCTATTTTCAGACAAAGGGTGACAAATGCCGGCCTGATGAGGACTACCATTTCACTTTGAGCCTATCCACATCATCCCGTCTTTTACTCCCAATTTCGTTTAAGGGATACCCTCTGGTAAACAAACATAGCTATTGAAAATGGCCATTTATAGTTGATTTACCCATTAAAAATGGTGATTTTTCATAGTTATGTTAGTTTACCAGGGGATATCCCAACCTGGTTTTGTAAGCAATGAACATCCAACACCTGGAACTGAGTCTCCTGAGATGTGGAAATTCCCCCCATGTCACGTTTTCCAGGTTTCTTTGCCAAATGTACCGAACCACCTGGCAATAAAACATGGAAATCACATACCCTCTGGTAAACTACGAGTAACATCTGGAAATCACCATATATTTAATAGGTAAATCAACCTCATCATTCATCACCATTCATCATCATTCATCATTCATCATTCAAAATGTGGCACGGCATGGCTTCCATAGCGATGTTAATATGATGTTAATCTGTTGCCATTGAGTTCGGTGATACTGTGGATGGTTGCGAAATTCTGCACCACCAAACGGATGGTTCAAACCCTATTTGGTTGGTGGTTTCAACCATCTGAAAAATATGAGTTCGTCAGTTGGGATGATTAGCAACCCAATCTATGGAAAAAAAATAGGTTCCAAACGACCAACCAGCTATATCTTTGGGATGTTTAGCACCGTCAACTGGTGATTTCGCTACCATCCACCGCCCCTTGGCCCCGGGGTGCCCCAACTGGTCGCCAAGTTTCGCCGTATGTGCGCGGGACCTGGGGTCCCATGGGTCCCGCAGCCAGGTCATGGCGACAACGGAAAATCAGGGCCAAAAATATATAAACCATCTGTTGATTTAAGGGTTTGCTATAGAAAATCACCATTTTCAATAGGTATTTCGTATTCTTTCATAAGAAATTATCTATAAATTGGCAATTTTCCATAGCTACAAGAAAAAAAACGAAGGGTATAAGTCATCCTAGGAGACAGAATATGGGAATTACAAATCACAAACATGGGAAGACATTAACAGTTCCATATGCAAAGGATGACTATTCAATGGCTTCGCTTATGAATGTTTCAGGGACATTTTACGGGACAACATGTTACATTCCATGAATACCAATTTCAACCAATTTCAACAAATATATGCCAAGTATGACAGCAAGCTCAAGCCACATATGACAACAAGCCAAGTTTCAAATTGTGCTTCCAAGGGAAATACAGCATTACCAACTAGCCGAATTATGTTCCCAATATCTTCATGAGTCATCATGAACCTGTAATATGTACCCTCATGTCAATCATCAATGTTGGCCCGTAGCTGGTTTGGTAATCATGATAACTTGTCCAGAGTCCAGCAAGCAAAACCGATGATAGAGTTGATAGCACTGGGACTTATGTTGTTCTTCTAGATTAATTCATCTGTCTAAACAATATTCAATGTAAATGCGGGGGGTGATGTGCATGATTCTGATTCAAGTTGTTAAAGCGCTTGGAAATCCAACAATCCAGCAATCTCATTTGTTGTTCTTGGCACTATGAACGAGTAGAAACGCTATTCTAAAGTGGCTTGTGTACCCTCAAAAGATGGAGTAGCTTTTCCAGCCTTGTGACATTGAAGTCAATGAAGCCGAGTCATTTCTGTTTGGACCACTGATTCATGATATGAACGCTGTCCCAAGGAGAAAACATCAGGAGAAAAACGTTGAAATCTGCCATGGATCGCGGGATTGACAAATCCTCAAACTGATGATTAACCCTCCAACTAATCATCAATATCATCAATTAGTCAACAGGGGGTTCGCAGCCACTGCTCAGTTCTCCTTGGTTTCCCAGCACTTTGGTCCTGGACGATTTAACATCACATTCTCCAACTTCAAGTCCTGTGCAAAATGCACAATCGTCAATATTGGCGGTCAATGGTCAGGGTCGACAGTGTCCAGTGACATGTTAGGCATATATGGAGCCGGTAATTGGATCTCAAGCAACAAAACGAGGATTGTATGGTGATATAAAGTGAAATTATGGACAGCTGTGGGATGCAAGTTGATATAAGTCTGAAATATCTAAGGTTGAGCTGACATGTCATCACTGTTTTGGACCCCCCTTATAAGTCCACCAGGGTTGGAAAACCATGTATATAATGCCTCTATTTCCATCCAAAAATACCAATGCGATCCCAAGCGGGATTGTGCAGAAAATCAAGGCACTTGGGCCTTTATGTCCCCACAAAGGTTGGGTTCAGCAACATCCTTTCACAACCCACTCTCGGCTCACTCCTTCAAAGCAGGCACCCCAGTATATAGCCAATTGCAGGACAAGATTTGGGTGGCTCCCAACCCCGGGTGGAACAAAATGCGCAAGCATTTGAAAATTAGACATGAAATGATATGAAAAGAAACCCTCCAAATTCCAAATCAATGGTCATATTGCCTAACTAGAAGCAAGCAGTCACCCGCAGCACCGACCTTATGGATAAAGCCGTGAGAATGAAGTTCTGCAACAGCCTTGGTGGCTATGAGTTTGTTCCACAGGGGCAAGGCTGTCTCAGACCCTTTAGGCAATGTCCAACAGTGACCCTCTCTTGCCAAGTACATCCAATTGCCCTATGTTCACCAGGTAAAATATAACAATCATGCAAAATCCAGGAAACATTCCAACAACAAAAACATGCAGTTGTAAAGCCATGCTAAGCAAACATTAACATTGTAAGATCTATATTACCGAATGAACCATGTACTGATTATGTCCATTGTGAATATGGTGATCCATATGATCCTCCAATTTGAAAACCTTAAACTTACCATTGGGTAAAAACAATGACTTGCAAACATTTTACCATGTGGAACACCATTCACATTGACAATTGCGTTCAACCAATGGCTACCATTGTGAACTTCACACATGATATACATTTTGCTAAGACGATTTTCATGTGACCCAATAGAATTATCACAAACGCACATCAATTCCCAACCACGCAAAATAATTCACCAACTTTCAGTAGATAGTCCC